ATAAAATCAACCTCAGAGGAGGCATTGGAACCTCAGTTCATTGGAAGATTTATTCTGTTTTATGGAACAAAGTGTTTACTGGGTTCTAGAAACACAAATAAAACCAATTAGGATATTTAAACTTGAAGGTGTAGCTCAGCTCTTCTCCCCTACCCTTGACTCTTCCCTCCATGGTTCTAGCCTCCGTGGTTCTGTGGTGTTCTTGGAGCCTTCGGCCTCTAGGTCCTTCTCTAGCAGTTCCTGCTGCCTGGCATGTTCTTCCCCCAGTATCCACTTGCCACCACCCTCTCACCACGCCACTCAATCCCGCAAGCTACACCACATGCTCATGATTCCTCTTCCCTATCTCCTGAAGTATTCACCACTGTATCTTCACTTGTTTATTATGTTTACTGTTTGCATCTCCCTTCACTAGGAAGTTAGTTCCACGAGGGTACGGTCTCTTTTACTTAGTGAGTTAGTTCAAGGGCCCAGGGATAGTGACCGGCCCTTCGTTGATGTTCCATATATACTGGTTAAATGAGTGAAACTAGTTTCCTGAGCTCCCTCAGAGTGAGAGCTGAGTTTGGCTGAAGACATAGCCCAGGAACTTTCTGGATAAGTTTGTTATGATTCCCAGGGCCAATAGCTACCTGCCCAGGCTTAGATTTCCCCCCAGATACAAAAGAAACCAGCTCAGACAAAATTCAGCAAACCCAAGGAAACATTCAGCCAAATTTCTTTCTCAAGGTTTCTATCAAGATCCTCATCTACAAGCAGGGGGTGTTGGGATTAGGACCTGAGGGGGCAGAGCTGTTGGTATTTTGAACTGTTAAAAAGAAAAAGGAAATGGTTTGGGAAGTCCCCTATTAAGGTGAAAAAGGCAACTGTCAGTACATTAGGCTTTGGTTTAGGGACCCACCTGCACCTGGAATGAGGAAGCCCTTTGCCCTGCTGGGGTAGGGCTGGGAGAGGGGAGGAAGATGACCAAGAGGAGCTGGTTCTTGCTGGGCTTCTTCCCCGTCTTCTCTTGGGATGAGCTTCTCAGTGGATCACAGCTGCCAGACAGGGTCTCACAGAATTCACATCACTGTGGTGTCCCAAGCCTGTCCTTTCTCATCCAAAAATCTCTTAGGGGAAAATCCATTCTTCTATTTTATAAAGCAAGGAACTAAAGTTGAGTGGGGTGGAATGGGCTTGGTATATAGATCAATAGCATTCCTGAAACTGGGGTCTAAGATACCCACTCCAAGCACCAAGTCATGTCACACACGGACCCCTGCAGCCTCTTCTGGGAGAGTCCCCTTCCTCTTCCCTGGGACAATTCTTCTTTCTAGGCAGAAATTTCATCCCCAAATGGGATAAAGTTCTAGAAGATAGTGTCATCCCACAGGGCCAAGGATACCCCAGAGCTCTTGTTGACTGAGGTCCAAAGAAGGCAAATAACTTCTATACTGCCACTAAGGACAGAGCTGGAAACAGACTTGGACCACATTTTGTTGCAATTTCAAATTTCTTTCAACCTGAGGTTTTTTGTTTTTTTTTTTTTAATTCTAGGGGTTGAACCCAGGGGCACTTAACCACTGAGCTACATCCCCAGTCCCCTTTTTTCTTCCCTGTACATTCATAACTATGGTTAAGTTTAATTTATGAATGAGGCATAGTCAGAAATTATCAATAAAACAGAACAAATGCAAAAATGCACCATAAAAATCATGTGAATGTGTTCTCTCTCAAGGTACCTTACAGTACATTCACATTTTCACTAAAGCAAGCACCTCACAGTTCTCTGGCAGGTCTGAGCTGCCAGCAGGGCTGCTCTATACTTTGGAGTCATTATTAAGTAAAATGAGGGGCTGAGGTTGTGGCTCAGTGGTACAGCACTTGCCTCGAACCTATGAGGCAGTGGGTTCGATCCTCAGCACCGCATAAAAATAAATAAACAAAATAAAGGTATTGTGTCCATTTACTACTAAAAAAGAAAAGTAAAACGAGGGCCAAGCACTGCAATATGGCAACAGTCTGATGACCAAGATGCCTACTAGATGACCAACGGGGAGCACACAGTGTGGACACACTGGACAAAAAAACCTCCTATGCTTGGAGGGAGCCAAATGCAATTTAAAACATGCAACTTGTTTACTTCTGTTTTTTTTTTCTATTTAAGATCTCCAGGTCATGGTTGATTACTGGCAACTGGGACGTCAGTAATCTCAGATAAGGGATCACTGTACCTGAGGAGGGAGTAGATGGTCTGGATGGGTGGACGATAGGTTCAGGTTCATGGCCCATTGCATCAACAAGGAAACTGCACGTGGTGCCGGCAGAGGGCTTAGTAGCTTTTAAGATTTTCATGCAGAACACGACCCTGAATCTTCAGATTACTGGCACAGGCGAAAACAGAAACAGGCTACAAGTCTTGGCAGGGAGCTAAGTTGTATGACCCTAATTAATTCTATGCTATGGTTTCAGGGAGGAAGAGGGACTGAGATGTCTTCTTGCAGGTGCAGGCTAGATATGGCTTGGGTGATGGGTAAGAGGCCAGAGATCAGTGCTCCAGGGAGAATAGGAGATGTTTCTAGATTCTATGAAGAAACAATGACACATCCGTGTGCAGTTGTCCCTTGCTGTCCACAGGGCTGGCCCAGGACTCTCTCAAGGACACTAAATCCACAGGCACTAGAGTCCCTTCTATAAAATGGCATCCTATTTGCACAGAACTGATAACAACCTCCCGCACACCTTAAATCCTCTTTAGGTGACTTAGGACACCTAAAATAATATGCACATAGTGTCATGCTGTATTGTTCAGGGAATCATGACAAGAAAACAGGTCAGTCCGTGCTCAGTACAGATCAGTTCTTTCCCCCAAACAGTTCTGATTCATAGTTGGTTGAAGGCATAGATGTGGAACCTGCAGATACTCCAGCACCAGGCGGCCCCCAGGATGGTCCTCTCCATGCCGCTGGAAGTTGGTGCTCTGGGTCTTGCGGGGGCGCTCTCACCTGAGATCACTATGCACTGGTTTACACACTTCCTCAGCATGGTGTAGAAGGCCACAACGGTCAGCGCAAAGATGCACGGCTCCAGCTTGCCCAGCTGCTGTTTTTCCTACATCTTTACCTACTTGGGGGTGGTAGATTGGGAGGAACTTGAAGGGGTTGATGGTCACCAGGATGCTCCTCGTGTACATGTAGATCTTCTGCTGCAGAAGCAGTGCTTGAGTTTCTTCAAGAAGTTGTCCTTGGGGAAGGTTGCACAGTTTGTCAAAGTCCCCCTGCTGTTGCGGCAAGAGGCCCCGCTCCACCAGGCGCCAGGCGGCGGTGGCCTGGGCCACCAGCTGCATGTGCATGTACTTGATGGTCCTGTCTGCCTTGCGCTCCTGCAGCAGGAAGTAGTAGGTGTAGTAGGTCCCGTCTGCATTGCGCTCCTGCAGTAGGAAGTAGTAGGTGTCCTCCTGAGGGTAGTAGGTGTCCTCCTGAGCCCTCCGGGGCCACAGCAGCATGTGGTGCAGCGGTGAGTCATTAACGCCCAGCACCCACTCCTCCTCCTTGACCTCCACCAGCACGTAGCACTGGATGCCCATCATCCGCAGGTTGGCGGTGGTATCCTTGATGATGTGGTGTGGTCAGATGTAATGTTGTCCTTGATGGTGGTCATGTAACAGGAGGCTTGGCCCTTGGTGGTGGACAGCGTGGGTAGATGTGCAGGTGATAGGCTGCCTGCTCCTGGCGGCCAGAGCTGCCCACCTCTTGCACACTCATCCGGTGGGCCTCCTGGCTTCAGCATGTCTCCCAGGCTTCTGGCGAGCATGTCCTGGAGCTGGCCCTAGGCGGCGGCGTGCCAGTCCTGTGCTGAGTCTCTGCCTGGACACCCGCCAGCCCACCTGCAGCTTCTCCAGCAGCTCCTCCCCATCCCTTTTTGAGACAGGGTCTCACTAAATTGCTGAGGCTGGCCTCGAACTTGTGATCCTCCTGCCTCAGCTTCCTGAGTTGCCGGGATTATAGGTGTGCGTCACCACATCTGGCCCGGAGATTTTGATTCCATGATACCCATCAAACATGTTTCCTCTATCCCAGGGCTACTCTCATCAAAAAGATCTTACTTAAAATTCCCAAAGTACCTTGTCTGGCTACTAGTTATCCAGCTCATGTCCTTGGCTTTGGGGGGATAAGATTCTTCTCTAGAAAATCAGGACTAATCCCCTATGGGTCCCTAAATCATGACCCTCACACTTACCCTCCTAAGTCATGACACTCAGATAAGCCTGCTTACCTTCCTTGCTTGGGGACATGGTCCTAGCTTTGGCTTGGATGAGGAATCACAGAATGTTGAAGATGGAAGGATGATAGAGATTAAAGCCCTGGCCCACATTGGGGAGCAGTCTCCTTAAAACCTCAGGGGGGCTGTCCTTTCTCTCTATTGCTTGAGGACCAAAGTGGCTATCAGGACTTCTGCTTATTCACTGAGCACCTAAAATGTATATATTCTTGATGAGCACTAATTATGTAGCCAGTATTGCATAAAAGCTTTACTGTCTCACATGTTCCTTAAAAGAATGAGGTAGACACTATATCCATTTTATAGATCAGGAAGTTGTGGCTCAGGAATTTTCTCTTATTTGTCCTAGATCGTAGAGCTGATAAGGTCTAGGATCAGGAATGAAACCCAAGTCTGTGCATGGAGCCCAAACCCCAGGTATGGCAGAAAGGAGGTGAAACACCATCTCCCTTGGCCTCCCTAGCTGCAAGACTGTGGGGGTGAATATCACCATGGAAATGATGACATGAATCAGACTTTAGAGAGGCAAGATTATTGGGCAAGAAGGGCAGGAAGATTAGGTTGCTGATACCCCTGACCTGCCAGCTCTTAGCCTGCACCTGGCTGCATCCTGGAAACTATCCAGTCACACCTAGGCAGGTGGCCTGCCCCTCCTCCCTGGGTTGAGGAAGCAGGAAAAGGTGGTGGTGAGAGGCAGCGGGCAGGTCTGCTAGGCAGTGGTGATCAGCGCCCCAGCTAGGATGAGCTCTGTGAGGGGCCTGGTTCTGCCCCTTCTTTTCTTTTGCTGGGAGACTGGAGTCTTGGGAAGTTCTGCAGGTAAGGAGGGGAGAGGGGCCTTATGGGCTTCTTCCCCTGCAGTGTTCTGGGTGTGAATTTCAGTAGAAGCAGTGGGGGTGGGTGAGGGTGGGCTCTTTCATGAATTATAATTAACCAGAGGCTATATGGGAAGTGTGATTATTGTTGATAATGAATATACAAATGGCAGTGTGTGTCAGCTAGCAATGCAGCCATCACTGTAAGGATCTTTGTAAATTTGTCTTTATGAATGTGGCAGTGTACATGGGATGGTGGTGGGGGGGGGACAGAAGGTGTCAGCTGATGATAATTCTGTCTAAAGTTGAAGAATGTGACTTAAGAGTCGGACACTTTTGTTACTTAGCATAGATTTCCTTCAAAATGTGGCTTTTGTGTGAAAAGCCTGTCACAAAATTCTTGGACAGAAGAGGCTGGGCTTTTATGGTAGAAGAGAGTTAACACTAATCTGTCACTGACAGGCACTGTGCCAAGCTCACTAGATACATTTAAAAATAGACTTCTTAAAAAGCAATTTTAAGTTCATAGCCAAATTGAACACAGCAAACATTTCCCATATACCTCTGTGTCTATCATATACAAACTCCCCATTATCCACATCCCACGCCCACATTGACATGTAATCATCGTACATTTTTTTCTTAGTCCTCAGACTAACCCTATAAGATAGGTACTAGCCTTATTCCCACTGTCACCCTTTATTTTATTATTAATTAATTAATTATTCTGGTTTTAGGGCTTGAACCCAGGGGCACACTACCACTAAGCTACATGCCTAGTCCTTTATCATTTTTTGTTTTGAGACAAGGACTCACTAAGTTGCTGAGACTGAACTCAAACTTAGGATCGTCCTGCCTCAGCCTCCCAAGTACCTGGAATTACAGGTTGTACCCCCATATCAGGCTCACCCTCACCCCTTTAAAGGCAAGGAGACTGAGGCTTATGGGGATTAAGTCATTTATTCACAGAGCCAGGAAGTAATGTCACATGTGCCTAACCACTGGACTACACTGACTCCCACATGCCCTCAGACCACCAGGTTTGTGCTACATATTCCACTTCACTTCATTTAATCCTTACATGAACCCCGTGAAGTATGTGCTCCGAGTCTCATTTTATGAATGAGAAAATGCAGGCTTGGAACTGGGAGATGTGGCCAGGATCACGCAGCAGAGCAAGCAGAAGAAAGAGGACTCAGATCAGGTTCCAAAGTCCACCCTTTCCTCCCCACGAGCCTGGGTGAACAGAGTGGGAGAGTTGCAACATTCTAGGGCCCTGGAGAGATGAGTAGGTTTTGCTCTGTTCCAGAAAACAATGGCAGGAAAGAGGCTCCGGATGGGGCCTCCCCAGCTCTGGAGATAAAGAGGCCTTGGGTTTGAGGGGGATGGGGAGGTTTCATAGCAGACATGACAACCCAAGCTTCCTGGAAACAGTGGACAATGTGCCAGTGGAGGTTAGGGGTCAGACTGCAAGACAGTCACCGCCACTGTTTGGGCATCTGGCTGTGTGGATTGGGCAGCAAGGCTCTGCCTCCTTTTCATGGGGACTAGCCAGGAGGCTCAGGGAAATAGCTCAGGAAGAAGAAGAACTTAAGACAGCAGACTGGCAGTTCCTGTGTAAGCATCATTTCTGTGAGCAGCTGAGCTGAGTGGAATAGATAATGAGTGCGTGTCCCCATGGTCCATCCAAAGTGCATGTGGGACACAATCTGAAATCCCCAGTATTAAGCCAGGCTGTGTGCTTTCAGGTCACTCCTTGAGGGGACACAATGGAGATGTTCCACACCTGTTGCAGGCTTCGGAATATCAGAGCTCTCCCATTCACCTCCTCCCTTGGTACTGATTGCTGTGGCACGGTGGGTGTTGTGACCATCTTTCCCCAGGTGAAGATATGAAGCCTGGGAGAAATCCATCTGGAGGACAGGCTAGCTACTAGGAGGCAGCTGGGATTTCAATCTGTAGATCATCTGAGCAAATAAGTAGCAGTCTTGGGGCTGCAGCACAGTCTCTTAACTCCTGCTCTGTCACTCAAAGAGGTCCAAGGGAGGACGAGCCAAGGACCTGATACCCTGCCTTCACCCACCACATGGAGGGTCAGGGCCTTTCCTTGGACTATGTTTGGGCTAGTGGATCTCAGTAAAGACATCTTAAAGCATCAGAATGCCAAAAAGGGTTGTTCCCGTTTAGATCCTTTTCCTTCCAAGAGTAGGATTGCCAGATGAACCACAAGATAGCTGGTTAAATTTGAATTTCAGGTGATGAAATTTTAAAAGTATAAGTATGTTTAAAATATTTCATGAAAAATACTTATACTAAAAAATTATTCACTCTCTCATATAGTTAAAAAAGTTACTCATTGTTCATCTGAAATACAAATTCAAATTTAACTGTATATCTTATATTTTTACTTGCTGAATCTGGAAGAGCTACCCAAGAGCAGCAGGTTGTCTGGCCCACTCACAGAGAGAGCCCTTCCCTTGAGTAGGCAGGAGAGGCACCTTTCTCAGGCCATAAAAGATACTGATACTGGCCAGATCTCCACTGCCATGACCCCAGAGGGCCTATGAATAGGCCTGCTGTTCTACAGGGAAGTTCTAGCAGCTTCTCTCTAAAACATTAAGCTTTGCCTCACTGGACTCCCTATGACATGTGGAAGATGCTTGGCCCGTTGGCCCATTGCTTCTGTAGTTCTGGGGTTCCAACCCTGTAGTTCTCAGGTCCACCTTGGGAAGAGCCCTGGGCAGGGATGGGAGGTGCTCTCTTCCCTTGCTGCAGCCCCAGGGACTCTGCTGCTATCCTTGCTTTTGAAACAACATGCCCTACATTCACACAGGAGCTTCTTCTTCCCCAATCCTCCCAGCTATCTTTACAGACAGAAACCACAAGTCTTTCTTATATTTTAAGAAAATACTTCCAGCTGGATGTGGTAACACATATCTGTAATCCAAGCAATTTACTGAGGCTGGAGGATCTCATGTATGAGGCCAGCCTCAGCAACTTAGCAAGGCCCTAAGCAACTTAGTGAGACTCTGTCTCAAAAAATAAAAAGAGATGGGCATGGTGTGGCACATGCCAATAATCCCAGAGCTGGATGTATAGCTCCATGGCAAAGCATTCCTGAGTTCAATACCCATTCAAAAAAGAAAAAGAAAATACTTCCATGGGGAAGCACTTTTGGATGAGAAAATATCCATGGAAAAATGACTAGGATTCTTTCAGAAATTTCTGAGAGTCCTGTTCCCTGCTCTGCAGTTGTTGGCTCCTGTGGATTTCTGCCTACTTTGTCCATCCTTGAAGGTAGATCCTGGCCATGCACAATACCTCTGATGGCCAAAGATCAATAATCAGCTCAGATACTAGGGCTTGCTGGCCTCAGGTGGGTCATCAGGGCTTCAGAAGCCACTGGTCAGGGTAACCCCAGCTCCATGATTCCCTCATGGGACTGGGCTCCCCAGTACTGCCTCCTTATTCCTCATCATATAGATGGAAAATGGGGTAACAATTACCCCACCTCTCCTGGCAGTGTCCAGGGCATACACATAAGAGCTTGTCTAAAGCCGGTCTGTTGAGACTCAAGGTTCACAAGGTTGGTCTTCCTCAACACAGGCCCCAGCACCAGTAGAACAGTCCCTTTGGTGACATCAAACAACAGAGTAGTGCCTACTATGACTCAGGGTGTCAGGACAAGCTCAGAGGGAGGCTTCCAGACCATTGACCTCACTGAGACTTCAACACAAAGCCATGTTTCTTTGAAAACTCAAACCCTGAGCACCAAGAAACTTTCCAAGAACTTAATCCCAGTTGGCACCACTTCAAAGGTAGAAACCAGGGAGGCCCAGACCATGTCCCCTGCAATGGAAACCAACACCCTCACAAAGGTAAGAGCTTCCAATTTCAGGGCTGTGGTCACCTCCCCTGTGGAGACTTCTGTCATGAGCAGCAGCCCCACAGGAACTGGAACCACCACAGCTGAGAGAAGTGCAGGCAGTGGTCCCACAGAAGCCATCTTTGATACCCTTTGTACAGATGACAGCTCAGAAGAGACAAAGAGGATGGTGGCTGGCAGCTGGACATTGACCCAGATCTTCCCAGAAGCTGAGAGCTTGTCCTCAGAGAGCAGTTCATCTGCAGACAGCTCAGTCTCGGTCAATACCACCTCACACATTCTGTCACCTGACGCTGCAACTAGGCCCAAGGCCTTAGTGGAATATAGCATAACTCACATTGAGTTCACCAGGGGCAGCGTCATGAAGATAGAAACAGTTGCCACCATCTCTGGGACCTCAGACATAGAATACAGCCCCACAGGAGGGCAGGCCATGTCCACCTCTGAGACATCAGCTCTGTCCACCTCCACTGAGGCCAAATCACACATCCCCAAGACCACAGCCTCTGCTGAGACCTTGTCAACAGCCAGCACCTCAGAGTCAGCCTCCCCTGACTCCACCCCTGAGGCCCCACTGCCCACCAGTTGCACCACAGAGAGAGAAACAGCAGCAGCCCAGACGCCCACTCCCAGTGGAACCTTGGTGGCAGGTAGCACCAGCCCCTGGGAGGAAATCTCAGCCCTCTCTGCTGGGACAACACGCCACTTGGAGGTCTCGGGAGCTGGTACACATTCCACGGATGCTGGGTCAACGGTGGGCAAAGTGGCTTCCTCTGCTGGGCCCAGAGCCTCCATCTACAGCTCCTCAGAGGCAGCCACCATCCAGATCTCCACCTCCTCAGAGACTTTTGCCATAGAGGGCACAACCACGGGGTCCTTCCCCACCAGCAGGAGCCCTCTTCCTTCTGTCCATCCCTCTGCAGCCAGTAGCAGCCAAGAGACACACTTCACCTTCAGCAAGGCCACAGCCACACCAGAATCCCCAACAGCCACTCCCACCACTGCTCAGACAAGGCAGACCATAGAAGTCCCTGCAGGTAAGTGACTTCCCCGTGTGATCCTTGGGATTGGGGGTTCAGAGTCTCTGGGATGCCTGCATGCTTCAGGAGGTGGGAGGAAGGACGGGTGAGTGTGGGTCCATGCTGAGCTCTCACCAATGTGGCCTCTTCATGGTCTCCTAGTGGTCTTGGCTCTGCCTTAACAAGCTGAGCAAACCTGGCCCAGTCTCTCTCCCTCTCTGAGCCTCAGTTTCCCCACCCATAGCTATCAGGGATTGCACTGGAGGAGCACTGGGGGCCTTTCCAGCTCCAACCTTCCCTGAAGTGAGTGCTGAGTAACTACGGTGCATGTGGCAAGGTCCCAGCTCTTGTTTAACAGACCTGGTCCTCAGCCTTTGAGAGCCTCTGGTCCAGCCTTAGCCACACAGAGGGGAAGGCTGTGGGGGTCAGAGCCAATATTGCTCTCTGAGCAGATGGAACCCTGTGAAAGTGGGGTCTGCTGGATGTACTTGCGGGGCTCTGTGCCATAGAGGGTGTCCTGAAATATTAATAAATGATAGTGGAGTGAGGGTATGGGAGGTCTCAGAGCTTCATCTTTGTGACAACGTCTAATTCTTAGGGAGCAGTCACGTTCAGAGGCTGCTGGGTGAACCCAGTTCCTGGTCAGCCTGCAGCCTCCAGCTCTGCTCTCTGGCATTCTGTCTTGTGCCTCTGATCACAACCACTTTAAGGAATACCTTTTGTATGCTACTCAGGGGTGAATCACACATATTTCACACCAGTAGGCACTGGCACCAAAAGTGTCCTCTGTGTTGTCAGGGGGATTGCTCGAAGCTTTGCATTTGCCTCTAATATGTCCTCCCAAACAATATCCGGAGCTGGGCGACATTACCCACCTCACAGGCGAGGAAACAGGTTTTAAGACGTAGTTAAATTGTCCTAGGAATATGGCAGGGGGCTTCAGATGAGAGTCAGTTTGACTCCCAAACTCAGTCTTCCCATTGTGCTTCTATTTTTATAAGCTTAATTTACTAATATATTTTCCTTACTATTTGCTGATTAGATAATACATTCACAAAACACAAATCCCAAGATATAAAGGGGAGACCAGAGAGTAAAATAAGAGGATCTCAGCATGTACATGTATTTATATACTCCTCTTTTACCTAAGTGGAGCCTATGGTAAACTCAAATTTCTTTGAGAAATCTCTTCTTCTTCCTCCTCCTCCTCCTCCTCTTCTTCTTCTTCTTCCTCCCTCTCTCTCCTCTCTCTCTCTCTCTCTCTCTCTCTCTCTCTCTCTCTCTCTCTCTCCTCTCTCTCTGTGTTTGACAAGATAAGAAAATATTTTCATTTATTTCATATTTTAAGTTCAGGTTTATGATCTCATATTTTGTCTCTTTGATTTTATTCCCTTAGTTTTTTTGTTTTTGTTTTTGTTTTTATTTGTGTGTGTGTGTGTGTGTGTGTGTGTGTGTGTGTGTGTGTGTGGTAAGAGCACCTGACATGAGATCTACTTTGAGCAGATTTTTAGTGCACAGTATGGTATTGTCCCCGCAGGCACACTGTGCAGTAGATTTCTAGAACTTACAACTGGCAAAAGTAAAATTTTCTTCCCATTGAATAGCAACTCCCATTTCCCACCCCCAGTGAACTGTTCTGTTTTTATGACTGCTCAATATTCCATTTTGCTTTCTCATTATTTATTTAGCTAACACTCTGTGGGCCACCACCTCTGGGACCTTGGACTCAGATTACAGCCCCACAGGAGGGCAGGCCGTGTCCACCTCTGAGACATTAGCTCTGTCCGCCTCCACTGAGGTCAAATCACATGTCTCCAGGACCACAGCCTCTGCTGAGACCTTGTCAACAGCCAGCACCTCAGAGTCAGCCTCCCCTGACTCCACCCCTGAGGCCCCACTGCCCACCAGTCTCAGCACAGAGAGAGAAACAGCAGCCCAGACCTCCACCCACACCCCCAGTGGAACCTTGGTGGCAGGCAGCACCAGCCTCTGGGAGGAAATCTCAGCCCTCTCTGCTGGGACAACACACCACTTGGAGGTCTCAGGACCTGGTACACACTCCACAACCACTGGGTCAATGGTGGGCACAGTGACTTCCTCTGCTGGGCCCAGAGCCTCCATCTACAGCTCTTCAGAGGCAGCCATCATCCAGGTCTCCACCCTCTCAGAGACTTTTGCCACAGAGGGCACAACCACGGGGTCCTTCCCCACCAGCAGGAGCCCTCTTCCTTCTGTCCATCCCTCTGCAGCCAGTAGCAGCCAAGAGACACACTTCACCTTCAGCAAGGCCACAGCCCCACCAGAGTCCTCAATAGCCACTCCCACCACTGCTCAGACAAGGCAGACCACAGAAGTCCCTGCAGGTAAGTGACTTCCCTGTGTGATCTTTGGAATTGGGGGCTTGGGGTCTCTGGGATGCCTGCATGCTTCAGGAGGCGGGAGGAAGGACGGGTGAGTGTGGGTCCATGCTGAGCTCTCACCAATGTGGCCTCTTCATGGTCTCCTAGTGGTCCTGGCTCTGCCTTAACAAGCTGAGCAAACCTGGCCCAGTCTCTCTCCCTCTCTGAGCCTCAGTTTCCCCACCCATAGCTATCAGGGATTGCACTGGAGGAGCACTGGGGGCCTTTCCAGCTCCAACCTTCCCTGAAGTGAGTGCTGAGTAACTACGGTGCATGTGGCAAGGTCCCAGCTCTTGTTTAACAGACCTGGTCCTCAGCCTTTGAGAGCCTCTGGTCCAGCCTTAGCCACACAGAGGGAAGGCTGTGGGGGTCAGAGCCAATTATTGCTCTATAAGCAGCTGCGACCCTGTGAACTGGGGCCTGCTGGATGTACTTTCTGGGCTCTGTCCCATAGCGAGTAATGAAATATTGATAAATGACAGTGGGGTGAGAGTGTGGGAGATCTCAGGGCTACATGTCTGTGACAACGTTTAATTCTTGGGGAGCAGTCACGTTCAGAGGCTGCTGGGTTGACCCAGTTCCTGGTCAGCCTGCAGCCTCCAGCTCTGCTCTCTGTCATTCTGTCCTTGTGTTTCAACTCTGAGTATCCTTATCTTTCCCTAACTTTCTGGGCAGGTGACAAGACATATTAATCACAAACACTTTAAGGAATACCTTTTGTATGCTACTCAGGGGTGACTTACACATATTTGACACCCGTAGGCACTGGCACCAGAGTGTCCTCTCTGCTGTCAGGAGGAGTGCTCGAAGCTTTGCATTTGCCATTGCCTCCAACGTGTCCTCCCAAACAACATCCAGAGCTGGGAATTGTTGCCCCATCTGACAGTGACAATGTAAAGACAGTAACTAAATTGTCCTAGAAATATGACAATGGGATTCAAATGAGTGTTTATTTCATTCCAAAGCTTTAGCCTTTATGCTGTACTTCTATTTTATAAGCTGGCCTTAATATATTTTTATTTATAATACTTTTCTTTATTTTTGTTGATTAGATAATACATTCACATTATTTAAAATCCTCAAAGTACCAAAGACCTCTAGGCCAGGGGGTAAAGTGAGAGACTCTCAGCAAATACAGCTCCTCTTTTTGGCAACCACAGCCTATGTGGAAGTCTCTCTGTGATAAAGCTATGCTTTTTTTCATCCCTCAAGGGAAGAAAAATGTTTTATTCATATTTGTGATTTCATACTGTGTCTCTGTGATTTTAATCTCTTATTTTGTTTTTATTGTGGTGGGAACATTTAACATGAGATTGACCCTCAACAGATTTTGTTGTTGTTTATTTTTTAAGGGAGAATGGTTCTACTTACATCCTGGATTGATTAACCAGTATCATTGCGCATTCTTATCATTAAGCAGAAATTGAAGAAAGTACTCTCCTCATGTTTTTTTTTTCCTTTTTAAAATTAGATCTCTAAACTATTTTGATGAAAGGAGATACACAATCCTAAATAAATGTAAATAAATCTAATTTCTTTTTTGATATTTTTCTTTTCTTATTTTGGTATTAGGGATTGAACCCAAAGGTGCTTTACCACTGAGGTACATCCCCAGCTCCCTTTTCTATTTTTATTTATTTATTTATTGTGTGTGTGTGTGTGTGTGTGTGTGTGTGTGTACGCTTGGGATTGAACCCAGGGCCTTGTGCATGTGAGGCAAGCACTCTATCAACTGAGCTTATCCCCAGCCTCCCAGGCCCCTTTTCTTAATATATATTTTATTTTTATTTTTGAGACAGGGTCTCGCTAAGGTGCTAAGGGTCTCACTAAGTAGCTGAGGCTGGTCTATAGCTTGCAATCCTCCTGCCTCCGCCTCCCAAGTTGCTGGGATGATAGGTGTGCCCCACCATGTCTGGCAATAAAGTCAAATTTCTATATATCAAAGGTAACATATAGCTAGAGACATCATAAAGATTAAAAGGAAATAAAAAACCGAACACATTAATGACTTTAAAGATCAATATACTTAAAGTTGAAATCCAATGTGATGTTTATTTTTAAAAACTCTAAATACACATAGGAAAGATCAGTAGAGGACAGGGAACAGGGGAGGGAGAGGAAGGGAAAGTACTGTAGACTGAATTATATCCCATGACTGTATGATTAAGTCAAAATGAACTCATATTTATGCATGACAATAGGCACTAATTAAAAAAATTTTTAAATAAAAAGTCAATATAGGGCTGGAGTTGTAGCTCAGTAGTAGAGCATTCTCTTTGCACATGTGAGGCACTGTAGATTAAAATCTACAAATTTTAGTTGTAGATGGACACAATACCTTTATTTTATTTATTTATTTTTATGTGGTACTAAGGATTGAATCCAGTGCCTCATATGTGTAAGGCAAGCATTTTGCCACTGAACTACAATCCTAGCCCTAAAAATATTTTAAAAGTCAATATAGATAATCATTCAATATATGGAAAATGCATTACCAAGTTAGACAACAAAGGATTTAAAAAATACTGAGATGCTGTGTTACTCAGCTTTCCATCACTATACTTGAGATAATCAACTAATTTCTAAATTAATTAATTAATTTTCCAGTGGAATGCATTTTGACATATAGTACACAAATGGAGCACAATTCTCATTCCTCTGGCTGTACATGGTTCAGAGTCACTCCACTAGTGTAATCATACATGTATATAGGGTAATAATGTCTGTCTCTTTCTACCGTCCTTCCCATCTCCACAATCCCTCTCCTGATTCCTCTTTCCACAAACCAAAGTTCCTTCATTCTTCCCTATGCCCCTGCCCCACTATGGGTCAGCATCTGCTAATTAGAGAAAATATTCAGCTTTTGCTTTTTGGGATTGGCTTATTTCACTTAGCATGATAGATTCTAATTCCATCCATTTACCTGCAAATGCCATTCTTCTTTAATACTGAGTAATATTTCATTGTGCATATGTAGCACATTTTCTTTATCCATTCCTCTGTTGAAGGGCATCTAGGTTGGTTCCATAGTTTAGCGATTGTGAATTGAGCTGCTATAAACATTGATGTGGCTGCATCACTATAGTATGCTGATTTTAAGTCCTTTGGGCATAAACCAAGGAGTGAGATAGCTGGGTCAAATGATGGTTCCATTCAAAGTTTTCTGATGTATCTTCATACTGCTTTCCATAGTGGTTGCACCAATTTGCAGTCCCACAAACAATGTATGAGTGTACCTTTTTCCCCACATCCTTGCCAACACTTATTATAGCTTGTATTCTTGATAATTGCCATTTGACTGGAGTGAGATGAAATCTTAGAGTAGTTTTGATTTGCATTTCTCTAATTACTAGAGATGATTTGAACAGTTTTTCATGTCTGTTGATTGATTATATTTCTTCTTCTGTAAAGTGTCTGTTCAGTTCCTTAGCCCTTTTATTGATTGGGTTATTTGGGGGGGTTTTTTTGGTGTTATTTTTTTTTCAGTTATTTATATATCCTGGAGATTAGTGCTCTGTCTGAGGTGTGTGTGGTAAAGATTTTTTTCCCATTGTGTAGGTTCTCTCATCACATTATTGATTGTTTCCTTTTCTGAAAAGAAGCTTTTTAGTTTGAATCCATCCCATTTATTGATTCTTGATTTTACTTCTTGTGCTTTAGGAGTCTTGTTCAGGAAGTCAGGTCCTAAGCCAACATGATTAAGATTTGGGCCTACTTTTTCATCTATTAGGCACAGGGTCTCTGTTCTAGTGCCTAAGAGGTTCTCTATCTCTGACTTGAAGTAATCCTTGCTACCTATATTAACTCACCTCTCTCTCCTAGTGGTGAGAGAGGTGAGTTAAAGTCACTCAGTATTATTGTGTTGTGGTCTATTTGATTCTTGAAATTGAGAAGGGTTTGTTTGATGTATATGGATGCCCCATTGTTTGGGGCATAGATATTTATGATTGTTATGTCTCATTGATGTATGATTCCCTTAAGCAGTAAGAAATGACCATCTTTATCCCTTCTAACTATCTTTGGTTTGACGTCTACTTTATTTGATATGAGGGTGGAAATCCCTGCTTGTTTACGCAGTCCATGTGAGTGGTATGTTTTTTCCCAACCTTTCACCTTCAGTCTGTGGATGTCTTTTCCTATGAGATGAGTCTCTTGAAGTCAGCCTATTGTTGGGGCTTTTATTTTATTTATTTTTATCCAATCTGCCAGTCTATGTCTTTTAATTGATGAGTTTAGGCCATTAACTTTCAGGGTTATCATTGAAATATGGTTTGTATTTCTGGCCATTTTGGTTTATTTTTTGTTTTTAACTTGACTTGGTTTCTCCTTTGATTGGCTTTCCTTTAGCATAGTTCCTCCCTTTGCTGATTTTCATTGTTCTTTTTCATTTCCTCGCCATGGAATATTTTGCTGAGAATGTTCTATAGTACAGGCTTTCTTGTTGTAAATTCTTTTAACTTTTGTTTGTCATGGAAGGTTTTTATTTTGTCATCAAATTTGAAGCTTAATTTTTCTGAATATAAGATTCTTGGTTAGCGTCCATTTTCTTTCAGAGCTTGGTATATGTTGTTCAAAGATCTCCTAGGTTTGAGGGTCTGGGTTGAGAAATCTGCTGAGATCTGAATTGGAATCCCTCTGTATGTAATCTGAAACTTTTCTCTTGTGACTTTAAAATTCTATCCTTATTCTGTATGCAAGGCATTTTTATTATAATGTGCCTTGGTGTGGACCTGTTGTAGTTTTGTACATTTGGTGTCCTGTAAGTCTCTTGCATTTGATTTTTCAACTCATTCTTCATGTTTGGGAAATTTTCTGATATTATTGATATTATTATTTCTGAGATTGTGCATTCCTTTGGTTTGTATCTCTTTGCATTCCTCTATCCAGATAATTCTTAGATTTGGTCTTTTCATTTTATTCCATAATTCTTGAACATTCTGTTCATAGTTTCTTATCATCTTCATTGTGTGGTCTACTTTGTTTTCCAGATTATAAATTTTGTCTTCATTGCCTGAAGTTCTGTCTTCCATGTGATCTAGTCTGTTGGTGACGCTTTCTATTAAATTTTTTTATTTGGTTTATTGTTTCCTTCATTTCAAGTATTTGTGTGTGTGTGTGTGTGTGTGTGTGTGTGTGTGTGTTTTCAGAGTCTCTATCTCTGTCTTAAAGTAATCCTTGCTACCTGTATTTGCTTTCTTATCTCTTTGTTGGAGTGATCAATCATTGCCTGTATTTGCTCTCTTATATTAGTCTATGCTTCGCAGATCACTTTAATTATGTACATTCTGAACTCCTTCTCTGACATTTCATCCACTGTGCTGTCAATGGATTCTGTTATTGGAACATCTTGGTCTGTTTGGAGCATTTTCTTCCCTTGCTTTTTCATGTTGTTCTTGTGTCTTCCTTTCTAGCAGTGCAGATTTGAGGTATTATAGTTTCTACACTATAATTTTGTGGTGTCTCTGCAGGTTACCAATATCTCGCCTCTGGTGTAATCAGGCCTGCAGGGGCCTTGGTGATGGTCTTCCCAGTCTTGGTTGATGTCTCTAGACAGAAGTGGTTGGTAGATGGGGTCTCAGTGCGTTCTCCTCCTCCGCTTGTGCAGGTCTCCTCCTCTGTGTCATGGGCCAGAGTCAGTCAGCTCCACCTCCTCTGTGTTTCAGGCAGGAGTCAGTCTGACGAGGTAATAGACTTATAAGGAGAAAAGGCTGATTTTGGCTCTAAGTTTTGGAGGTTTCAGTCCATGATCAGTTAAGCCTATTGCTTTTGGGTTTGTGGTAAGACAACACATTATGGTGGGCAGTGTGTATTACAGGAAAAAAACGCATACCGTAGGGCAAGGGAACAGAAGAGAGGAAGAGGAAGGGGCTGCAGTCCCAACAACTGTCTTCAAGGGCAATCCCCATGAACTAAGGTTCTCCCACAAGCCTCCACTGCCTGGGGCCTAAACCTGTAATACAGAGACCTCTGGGGGACACTTATACAAACCACAACATAAGCAATCCACACCTGTTGATGTTTGAGAAATTGTTAGACAAATTTTCAAGATTGTGAAATAGATATTCCCATGGACTGTGGTGAAGAAACAAATGGTCAATCAAGTAAGTCCAAAGCTATGCACCTGGGGCTTGTGATTCATTAAAAGTCACCATTGGTGTTTGTAAAGTCTCCTTATTGCAGTATGTTTCTTCTCAGCCTTGGACCTGAGGATTTTATTGGTTTCAGAGGTCTCAGTCCATTGATGACCAGCTCCATTGCTCTGGGCCCAAAATGAGGCAGAACATCAGGGTGGAAGAGTTTAAAGGAGGAAAGTAGCTCAGGATGAGGCAAGCAGGAAGCAGAGGGACCCTCGGCAATTTTTAAGTGCACAGTACAGAATTGTTCACGCAGGCACACTGTGCAGCAGATTTCTAGAACTTTGAACAGGCAAAACTGAAATTTTGTTCCCATTGAATAGCAATTCCCATTCCCCCCCCCATAAATTGTTCTATTTCATAACTGCTGAATATTCCATTTTGCTTTCTCATTATTTATTTAGCTAACATTCTGTGGGCCACCACCTCTGGGACCTTGGACTCAGACTACAGCCCTACAGGAGGGCAGGCCGTGTCCACCTCTGAGATATCAGCTCTGTCCACCTCCACTGAGGCCAAATCACACATCCCCAAGACCACAGCCTCTGCTGAGACCTTGTCAACAGCCAGCACCTCAGAGTCAGCCTCCCCTGACTCCACCCCTGAGGCCCCACTGCCCACCAGTCGCACCACAGAGAGAGAAACAGCAGCAGCCCAGACGCCCACCCCCAGTGGAACCTTGGTGGCAGGTAGCACCAGCCCCTGGGAGGAAACCTCAGCCCTCTCTGTTGGGACAACACGCCACTTGGAGGTCTCAGGACCTGGTACACACTCCACAGACTTTGGGTCAACGGTGGGCACAGTGACTTCCTCTGCTGGGCCCAGAGCCTCCATCTACAGCTCTTCAGAGGCAGCCACCATCCAGGTCTCCACCCTCTCAGAGACTTTTGCCACAGAGGGCACAACCACGGGGTCCTTCCCCACCAGCAGGAGCCCTCTTCCTTCTGTCCATCCCTCTACAGCCAGTAGCAGCCAAGAGTCACACTTCACCTTCAGCAAGGCCACAGCCCCACCAGAGTCCCCAACAGCCACTCCCACCACTGCTCAGACAAGGCAGACCACAGAAGTCCCTGCAGGTAAGTGACTTCCCCGTGTGACCCTTGGGATTGGGGGTTTGGGGTCTCTGGGATGCCTGCATGCTTCAGGAGGTGGGAGGAAGGACGGTTGGGTGTGGGACTATGCTGACCTCTCACCAATGTGGCCTCTTCATGGTCTTCTAGTGCTTTTGCCAAAGTCAGCCCTGAGCAGAGTTAGGGGGTGTATGAAAAGCGTGTCAGCTGCATGTCTGGAGAAGTGGCCTGAGATCCTCACTCTGCCTTAACTAGCTGAGTGAACTTGGCCCTGACCCTCTCCCTCTCTGAGCCTCAGTTTCCTCACCGTAGCTATCAGGGATTGCACTGGAGGAGCACTGGGGGCCTTTCCAGCTCCATGAAGTGAAGTGCTGAGTAACTATGGTGCATGTGGCAAGGTCCCAGCTCTTATTTAAAAGCCCTGGTCCTCGGCCTTTGAAAGCCTCTGGTCCAGCCATAGCCACACAAAGGGGAGGCTGTGGGGGTCAGAACCAATTATTGCTCTCTGAGCAGCTGCGACCCTGTGAAAGTGGGGCCTACTGGATGTACTTACAGGGCTCTGTGCCATGGATAGTGTCCTGAAATATTAATAAATGACAGTGGGGTGAGGGTGTGGGAGATCTCAGAGCTACATCTCTGTGACAACGAATAATTCTCAGGGAGCAGTCACGTTCAGAGGCTGCTGTGTGAACCCGGCTTCTGGTCAGCCTTCAGCCTCCAGCTCCACTCTCTGGCACTCTGTCCTGTGCCTCTGAGCACAACCACTTTAAGGAATACCTTTTGTATGCTACTCAGGGGTGACCTACACATATTTCATGCCCAGTAGGCACTGTCACCAGCAGTGTCGTCTCTGTCATCAGGAGGAGTGCTTGAAGCTTTGCATTTGCCTCTAATGTCTCCTCCCAAACAATGTCAGGAGCTGGGTGACATTACCCACCTCACAGGCGAGGAAACAAGTTTTAAGACATAGTTAAATTGTCCTAGAAATATGGCAGGGGGCTTCAGATGAGAGTCAGTTTGACTCCCAAACTCACAGTCTTCCCATTGTGCTTCTATTTTTATAAGCTTAATTTACTAATATATTTTCCTTATTGTTTGTTGATTAGATAATACATTCACATAACACAAGTCCTAAGATACAAAGGGGAGGCCAGAGAGTAAAGTAAGAGGTTCTCTGTAAAGGAATAATAATAAAGACGGTAGATACAGAGATAAGTGCCTCAGAGTCAGGAAACCGGCAGAGTGACTCCAGTCCAAGTGGCCACGTTTATTTATACCAATAGGTTACGTTAGGTGATTAGTACCATACCTACATTACTGTTTAGAGTATCAGTAAGGTTCCTTATTCTGCAGTTACATTTCATAGTTAAAATATGCAATGTTAAGGGCTTGGTGCTGTCCAAGAACGTCCATTGTCTGATATTACTGTTAGGCAGGCAGCTCCAGGAGCACGGGATCTTGGTGAAACATTGTAGTTATCTAGCAACAAGCTCTTCTATTCCCAGGAGCTATGTGCCTGCAATCAAGGTTGAGGCTTGATGAGACTCTAACACAGAGGCTTCTCAGGGCAGTGGCATACCAGCTAGACATTGCACATATATTAGCTGTATTACTAGATCCAAAGAGAGATTGCAGGGCATTGTAAGGGTGGGAAACATGGTGCCTGTTATCCCCCGGAGTTTCCTTACCCAGGGGAACACTTCCCTGTACATTTCCATAGTCAGAATCCCTACATCTACCCTTTTTTGTTTTTTATGGCCTTTTTAATATATAATATTTGTTTTCTCTTAAATGTCAGTGGGGATAGAAAATCGTGTAAACATTGGCAACAGCAAGCACAACATAATAATCCCAATATTAGCAAATATCCACCTATGAATAATTGTTTGGCCCAAATAAAGTTGGGTAACCACGAAGTTAGCCAATTCAATAAGTATGGACCTCCATCATCTTGTCGGACCTTTATAATGATATCTTTAAGGTAGTCTAACTCCTTTGAGATAGAATTACTATTATCACTTAAATTGAAGCAACATATATTATTAAGCTCCTAACATCCTTTATGATGTAATAATAGCAAATAATTAATTGTGGCCCAATTGTCAAGTACAGCTTGCTGATGTTGTTTTTGTTCTTATTAAGCATATTAATTGCCATAGAGGTATGATTAATATTTTTACCATAGCACAGTTCAGTTTTATAGTGGTTTTGTAAGCCTCGACAGCCAGTCGAGGGATACCCACTAAGGAAAATGTCAAAGCGTCAAATTTTGCCTTAGAGAGAAGGCTCACTGAATCCTCACAGTTTTTATCAAGGGGAATAGACCTTTTATGGATGCATTGTGCCGGATGATGGCCTATTAAATCCTGTGGGGATGGTAAGAACACAGTTAATCTGCTAATACAATGATGGGTACCATGAGACATTTTGCAGGTATATAACAATTTCAGCCAAGAGAACCCAGATATTATAATGGGTTTTAGAAGTCAAGGAGTCTGACTGTACTGAATTTTCATAGCTGGGGCACAACAACAGAATAACATTATTGTTATGACCAAAGCATTTACAGAGTTTTGTTGAATGTACTAATCAAAGTAGTAACTAAGTTTTCTTGAGTACATTTTAACCCTGTTTGAGCCAATTGCTGTTGAGCTGAGGCTGTTAATGATTTTATATCCTCTAAGTCATTGGAAGTCTAGTATCTTGGGATCCTCTTTCAGTGTATCTTTTCTTTCGAGGAGAGTGATAATTGTCCTCTTGTTTGGTGGGACTCTCTTCATCAAGGATCAAATGAAACTTGGGGATCAGGTTGTGAAGTCCTTGATGTCCAATCATAATTGATAGGTCTCACACACTGAGCTGGACTCCAAATTGAACCTGTTGGTGTAAGCATAGCAGCCTATCCTTTTCCCCATGTGATCAGAGACATAGAGTCTTGTCATCCTGGGTCTGATGGCAACCTATATATTACATAAATTTTTGGTAATGGCCGTTTAAGAATAAAATGTCTATCCAAAGCAGATGATCAATTGTGAGTATTCATTTTGTATTGCATGTTGAGTGCATTAACTGTAAAATAAAGAAATACTTAAAGCATTATTAATATGAGAGAGGCTAGATTCTCCCTTAGTTTTGTTTTAAAAGGCAAGTTTTAAGAGTATGATGTGTTGTTTAACCAAAGACTGTCTGGTAGCATTATGAGGAAGTTTATGATTTAAAATTATATTTTATTGATTTCAAAATTGTGTAAAAGTATGAGATGCATATGTAGGGGCATTATCCATTTTTAAACGAATAGGGTGGCAAAACAAAGTAATAAATGAGAAATGTAAGTAGATACCTTATTAGACCTTTGGGCACTAGCTCAAATGAACCCAGAATGAGTATGAATAAAAACATGAAGAAAAGAGGATGAAAAGGAGGGACATGGGTAACATCCATTTGTAAAAGTGTATTAGAATGTAGGCCTCATGGATTTACAGATTTTCACATGGGGGCCTAAAAGGTGAGAATAGTTGTTGACTATAGCATGAACCTGTTGAGAAGAGATGGAAAACATTTTTATTAGTGATTGGGCATTTTGATGAAAAAAATCCATGGGTTTTACAGCATCTGAAAATAAAGACAAAGGGATTTTATAGCTTTATCTGTGTGAGCATTACTTTCCGTCAAAGGTCAGGAATTTTGGTATGGCTGTGTATATGAGCGAGGAAGATGGGATTTATGACACTGCAAAAGAGTTTCAAGGGTTAAAAAAAAGAGATAGTAAATTGGAATCCAAATGAGGAGATAACACAGCTACAGAAATATGAGGAGTTAGTTTAGCTAAAATTGTAATAACATTTAAAGTAGTAGAAAACAATTTTAGCATTAGGATAAAAGTGGCTAATTTAGTTTGCTGTGGAGAGAGTTGAGGCAGGGTATAATAGTTATTTCGTTTATCATAAAAACAGATTTACTCCTCTTTATTTACTTTTATCTGTATATACCTTTAATCCATATACAAGAGGAATGGTAGAAATTAAGAAAGAGGGATATAACTAAGGAACCTGATATAACAATGAGAATTGTCCATCATGAGGCATGTGAAAATCAGTTGGTGTTAAAATATCTGTTAATACAATTTGATAGAAGAGAAAGAACTACAAATATTGGAGATATAAAGTTTTTTAATAAGTAAGTTATAAAACATGAATGTTCATTTCTGTTAAGGATAAAATTTTAGCATGACCATTAGTAATTAATTGAGTATACATAACAGCAAAGAGGTAAAATATTACAGCCTGAAAAATGAGCACAATATAATTATTTTAATATATATACATATAATTTTTGGTTATAATAGTAACCACTGTTGTAAAACCATAAGGTGTTTTAACAAAAACTATCCATGACAATGGCACATTTGATATTGAAAGTTGATCCACCATTATTGTTGATAATCCTTCTTAATTTTCTGTAAAGCCTGTTTTAAAGAAGGAGTTAAATAAAAAAAGGAGGCAGTGTCCTGTTTTTTTAACAACTGGAAAAAAAAAATGAGAGATCAGTTTGACATCAGTTGTAGTTTTTAATTTATGTATTTAAGAAACTATACTTAAGAAGATTAATCCCATTTATGTTAAATTAATTTACTTATTTTAATTGTAACATAAAAACATAATAAAAAATTGATTAATAGTATTAACCATCCCTGTTTTTTGAAGAAAAATTTTAGAAGTAATTGATATTATGTTTTAGATATTTTTTAGAAATTAAGACTTTATTGTTTAGTTCCCTAGAAAAACCTCATAAGTCAGAGCCTTAAAGACATCTATATATTTAATTATATGACTTGAATTAAATATTTGGATCCATTTAATTATTAAATTTTTATTTATGATTGCTCAATTGTTTAGAGGAAGAATTGAAAATATTGGAGATATAATTTACGTTTAAATGTCAATTTTTATATCAAGTACATAATATGTAGATATAAGACAAGCCTGTACAATTGGAAATGTCAGGTATAGAACTCTAACAGGTATCATGGACACTGAAATCAAGAGTTTCAGGTTAGCTGGCACTTTTGTCCTTGATACTTATCAGGCCCACTCCCAACACAACCATATTTATATCTTCCTAAGGATTTATTAAAAGAAATTTTTGAATGTATTTGAGACTTAACTCTGGAGAAATTGGCATTTGGATAAAGACAAAATGTAAAAACTTTTTTTTTTAAAGAGAGAGAATTTCTTTTTAATATTTATTTTTTAGTTTTTGGTGGACACAACATCTTTATTTTTATTTTTATGTCGTGCTGAGGATTGAACCCAGCGCCCCGCGTATGCCAGGCGAGCTCGCTACCACTTGAGCCACATCCCCAGCCCAGAGTATAAAAACTTTTATAGTTAGATAAAACAAGACGAATCAGAAAAATACATCAACTTATATAGAATACTTAAAAACTTACATCATCGTAATACTAACTTTTTCATCAGATCAGAGTGTATTTTTAGCTCAATAAGAGCCAGTTGGAAGCCTGTGAAATTCTTAAGAAAAAGCTTTTTTTCAAAAAGAAAGCTTGTGCATTTAGAATGTTTCTACTTTTGTCTTTCTGTGTTGTAACATTAGGGAGGAACTGGTCAAGAAAGCCAGCTGAACACAGATAAGACAGCCAGTCAAGCAGTTTGAATTTAAAAGAGACACTTTTTTTTCTTTCGTCTTAACTGGTTTTTCATAAGCCTCATAAATCTTGTAGGTCCTATAATTTACATTTTAAATATAAGGCTAGGAAAGTTAGCGATCCAGCAGAAGTTAAGAGGTAAGTAAAACTGTTGTAACCATATTTTTTCTTTTATAAGATAATTTTCTTAAAGCATGATGTTGCAGTTTGCATTTTTTGTGAATAGTTAGTTTTTCCTTTTTTAAAATTTTAACTCTTATACATCTTGTAACAGTTTCCACATATGGTTGAATATCAGTAATGATTTGTTGTGGATTGGAAAGGATAGAGCATGGTAGCTAGCCACAGGGAGCTTTTGGACACTTGTTTATTTTTGTTTCCTTTGCCCCAGACCAGGGTGGCCTCTTGAGGCCATGCATAAGGCCATACCATAAAAGTATTTATTACCATGACATTAGTATTTGTGCTCAATAACCCTATAATTGACTGTACATTTAAACAAAGAAATTAATTTAGGTCTACTTAAAATAACTGATAAACATGTTTCAATGACAGTAGAGTCAAACCTTGTATTTTTCCTTTTGTTTAAAGGTTGTAACTCTTTAAATACAGCAAAAGGTAAATGATCATATTTAGGTTGGGTAGCAGAATTTATCTTACAGACAGGTAAGTTAGGAGACTCCCCTGCTCCACAGCTGTCCCAAGCACTCAATTAACTGGGATCTAGCTGGGGGCAGGGTGGCTGCCACAGCCAGCCAAGGAGGCAATGACAGTGAATTAGAGGAGTCATAAATGTGGGAGGCTCCAGGACAGCTCAGGGCAGAGTGTTGTTGCCAGGGCTGTGCTACTGCTGTGGGGGGAGCGGCCGGGGATTTAAAGGGACCGCATAGCCAGGCACAGAAGGAGAAGAGCAGGCAGGTTGATAGAGGTTTTATCAATTGCATCTCTACAAAGAAACCAAGTTTGAAGCACAGGTATAGAAGTCTGTGGCTTCTTGTGAAGCTTTTCACCTATTTTCTCCCAGTCTCTCAAATTTAGTGTCCCACTTTCTTGATAAAAAGGACGACAAGAACTTATCTCTGTCAGCAAGGCAGTAAGATCAGCAGTATTTAGGGTATGTCCAGCCTTGCTAAGTAGGAGAGAAAGCTCGGCCTGATGACGTTGTTGAGCGTCATACAGAGATAGAGAATTACCCTACTGATTAGGGGTCAGTACCAGCCGATGAAATAGATGCAGGTCAAAAGCCTGTTCCAGGCATAAGTAAGCTACTCCCTCCCCCGTTACCTATCAACAGTCCGGAAGGGTCTCTATTAAGGTGATTATGTCGTTCCAAACTCTCCGAGGACTGGGGGGCCTTTTGGGGAGAGAACTCTTCTCCTGCCCCAACGCTGGATGCTAGTTATAAAGAAATAATGATAAAGAGGGGAGACCCAGTGACAAGGTGCAAAGGCAGGAAAGTGGCAGAGTGGCTTCTTGTCCAAGTGACCACGTTTACTTATACCAATAGGTTACATTAGGTCATTAGTACCATGACTACATTATTGTTTAGAGTAAGGTTGCTTAGTGCTCAGCATATACATATATTTGATATATATCCATATACTCCTTTTTTACCCAAGTGGAGCCTATGGTAAATTCACATTTCTATGAGAAATCACTTTTTTTTTTCCTGTATATGGAGTGAGTGTGTGAGTGTGTGTGTGTGTGTGTGTTTGACAAGGGAAGAAAAATGTTTTCATTTATTTCATATTTTAGGTTCAATTTTGTGACCTCATATTTTGTCTCTTTGATTTTATTCCCTTAGTTTTTTGTTTTTGTTTTTGTTTTTGTGTGTGTGTGTGGTAAGAGCACCTGACATGAGATCTACCTTCAGCATATTTTTAGAGCACAGTATGGTATTGTTCCCGCAGGCACACTGTGCAGCCGATTTCTAGAACTTACAACTGGCAAAAGTAAAATTTTCTTCCAATTGAATAGCAACTTCCATTTCCCGCCCCCAGTGAACTGTTCTTTTTTATGACTGCTCGATATTCCATTTTGCTTTCTCATTATTTATTTAGCTAACACTCTGTGGGCCACCACCTCTGGGACCTTGGACTCAGATTACAGCCCCACAGGAGTGCAGTCCGTGTCCACCTCTGAGACATCAGCTCTGTCCGCCTCCACTGAGGCCAAATCACACATCCCCAAGACCACAGCCTCTGCTGAGACCTTGTCAACAGCCAGCGCCTCAGAGTCAGCCTCCCCTGACTCCACCCCTGAGGCCCCACTGCCCACCAGTTGCACCACAGAGAGAGAAACAGCAGCCCAGACCCCCACCCCCACCCCCAGTGGAACCTTGGTGGCAGGCAGCACCAGCCTCTGGGAGGAAACCTCAGCCCTCTCTGCTGGGACAACACACCACTTGGAGGTCTCGGGAGCTAGTATACACTCCACGGACGCTGGGTCAACGGTTGGCACTGTGGCTTCCTCTGCTGGGCCCAGAGCCTCCATCTACAGCTCCTCAGAGACAGCCATCATCCAGGTCTCCACCCCCTCAGAGACTTTTGCCACAGAGGGCACAACCACGGGGTCCTTCCCCACCAGCAGGAGCCCTCTTCCTTCTGTCCATCCCTCTATAACCAGTAGCAGCCAAGAGACACACTTCACCTTCGGCAAGGCCACAGCCCCACCAGAGTCCCCAACAGCCACTCCCACCACTGCTCAGACAAGGCATACCACAGAAGTCCCTGCAGGTAAGTGACTTCCCCGTGTGACCCTTGGGATTGGGGGCTCGGGGTCTCTAGGATGCCTGCATGCTTCAGGAGGTGGGAGGACGGGTGGGTGTGGGGCTCTGCTGACCTCTCACCAGTGTGACCTCTTCATGGTCTCCTAGTGGTCCTGGCTCTGCCTTAACAAGCTGAGCAAACCTGGCCCAGTCCCTCTCCCTCTCTGAGCCTCAGTTTCCCCACCCTTAGCTATCAGGGATTGCACTGGAGGAGCACTGGGGGCCTTTCCAGCTCCAACCTTCCCTGAAGTGAGTGCTGAGTAACTACGGTGCATGTGGCAAGGTCCCAGCTCTTGTTTAACAGACCTGGTCCTCAGCCTTTGAAAGCCTCTGGTCCAGCCATAGCCACTCAGAGGGGAAGGCTGTGGGCGTCACAGCCAGTTATTGCTCTCTGAGCAGCTGGAACCCTGTGAAAGTGGGTCCTGCTGGATGTACTTGCTGGGCTCTCTACCATAGATAGTGTCCTGAAATATTAATAAATGAATATGTGATGGTTTGGCAGGTCTCAGAGATATATCTTTTTATTTTGAGAGGGTCTTTCTACGTTGCTTAGGGCCTTGCTATGTTGCTGAGGCTGGCCTAGAGCTTGCAATCCTTTTGCTTCAACTCTCATGTTCCTGGGATTACAGGTGTGGGCCCACTGCCCAGCTAAGGCAAGAAGATTAGGGCTCAACAAAAGGCAGAACTTTCTTGCAAAGCTGCTAAACCAGGAAGGCTGGATTAGATGTCCCCATCCGTCCCCTACCAATTTAAAGAACTGGAAGAACTGGCAGAAGGCATCTCCCCAGGGAGCAGCTGCTCTCCAGCTCTCTCCCTTTGGGGGCCCTTCCTTCCACCCCACCCAGGACCTCCTGGATTTGAGAACATTCTAATTCAGCTTCCATTTCTTCCTCCTCTCTCTTCCTTTGGCTTCTTCAAGCGTGGGAGGTGCCTTAAGCCACCACGCCTTTCACTCTTGTTGGGAGGACGCAGGAATGGCTGCAATTATCCTAGAGAAGGAATCGTTATTCCTCTTTGCAGCCAGCACACGTAAGATCCCATGTAAATGTAAGACACATTTATACATAAGAGTGCACACGCTTATATGCAGAGGGAGCAGAGGAGGGTTTAGTGGGAAGCACATCCTTATTCCTAAACTGACTACTTCCATCTTCTTTCTCAACTCAAAGGTGGTGATGGAGGCTTCCTCCTAGTGCGGCTGAGTGTAGCCTCCCCAGCAGACCTCACTGGGCCCAGCCAGGCAGAGAGCCTCATGCAGCAGGTGAGTGGATGCTTGCAGAGCCAGGGGAGTAAAATGAGTGGTTCTCAGGGACAGCAGAGTTCTTCAGGATGCAGAAGAGCAACTACTACCCAGAAGGAGGTCTAGTGTCTTGTGGAGTGTTAGGAGCTGAATTGAAGACTCTCTGCCTGGTTTTGCTTCTGCCTTTCTTCTCTGAGTTCATTTCATCTTTTCTGCAATGTAAACAAATTCTTCCCCCCATTTCCAATTTCTTCAGGTCCTAGGAAGTATTGGGTTTCTGGTGATGAGAAGTCCCATGGGCAGGGAAACAGGACACTTGGTGGATTATGGAAGAAACCCAAATCATAGTAGTTTACATAGACAAGGCAAGGTCCAAGAATCCAAGAAACCTATGGTAGCTCCTCTAGCTTAAGTTATGGCTGGATCCAGCAGCTCAAATACGATTGTGAGATTTTTTTAAAGTCTCTCTTACTGTCAGCTCTGCTTCTTTCATTATTCAGTCTTTCTCCCTACATATGGGAAAGTGACTCTGACAGCTCTAGATTCACATGGAACTTACTTTTCCCAAAATCATCAATAGAAGGGCTGGTCTCATGGGTCTGCAACAGCCCCCATGACTCACAGCCCAATCATTACCACATAGATTGAGAAGGATAGGCCCCGGATGAAATATGGATAGTAGGTAGAAAAAAAAACCCCAACAACAGATACATTCTCTAGAAGAGGAATCAAGATTGGGAGATATTTGTAGAGCAAGTTAGGAAAATTCTCTTAAACCAAGATTGTTGGACAGGGTTTCTGGTGATGAAATTCTGGGATCGGAGTTTTGGGGGACAGTGTGAATCCCTGGAAGTTTGACTGGATCAGCTCAGAGTAGGTTTCACTGGCCTTGAAGAGTGTAGATTTCACCAAGTAGGAGACGGAGTGTGATGTAGTAGGAAGTGTTTACGTTCTGTCCCGGTATAATCAGTGAAAACAGGTTCAGTGCACAGCCTAAGTGGATTGTTCCTTCAGCAGTACCCCTGCCCATGCCTCAAGCTTGCAACCTGCACCTGTCACAGTCCATAGGTATCATACAGCTTGTCAGCAGTGCAGGCTTGGTGGCATCCCCTGTAGGGGTAAACCTGGCAGAGGTACGAACTCGGGGGGTCCTATGTCAGGTAGAGTTCTATATCCAAGCTGGACAGGTGAGGTGGTTGCCCTTGGCAGGTGGAGACAGGAGACAACCATTTCAAGTAAAAGAAAACCACTTTCTGTCCTAAGCAAAAGGGGGATTTCTTGGTGCATAGAATCAAAGGATTAAAGGATTGCCAGAAGAGCAGGAGGAACATTCTGGCTAGAACCCTGTCTTTTTTTTTTTTTTTTTTTTGTACTAGGGATTAAACCCAGAGGTGCTTAACCACCAAAGCATATCCCAAGCCCTTTTTTATAGTTTATTTAGAGACAGGGTCTTGCTGAGCTGCTTAGGGACTCATTAAGTTGCTGAGGCTGGCTTTGAACTTGTGATCCTCCTGCTTCAGCTTCCCAAGCCACTTGGACTACAGGTGTCCACCACCACACCTGGTGGGACCCTGTCATTCTTGCTGACTACTGTCACTCTTGGATACCGCCCTAGTCAACGGACATCATGCTGCCTGCACATTCTATTGAAATGGCTTCTCACTGCCTCTTTATCTTTGGGTCACATGTTCCAGAGTCAAAGTCTTGAGTGGGAACATCCAATAGTGTAAGCTTAGTTCTTGTGTCCACAGATCACTGCCAGGGGAAAAGAGGAGGGGGGAATATCTGTGTCCTTGAGTTCTCTCAGTAGCAGCAAGCTCGTCAGGACTCACCCAGCCAAGAGTTCCCTACACAAGGTTTGATGTGGGGTGGCCAAACAGATGGCAATGCCTTCTGCTCACGAAAATCAAAAAAGTGAGAAGGAATCCCAGTCAAAGAGGGAAGCCAGAGTGGAGTGACATGTCTGAGCCTCCAAACTGGGATTCTTTCAGGGGTCAGGAAGAAACTGGGAGATTAGGAGCAGTTCAGGCAGCTGAGATGTAGGAATCAGGCCACATGGGGTTGGGTGTCTGTTCTTGGGGACTGACCATGGTTTAGGGATCAGGGGTCAGTCAGTGAACTCTGGAGCTCTGGGTGATAGATTTGGGTGTGAATTCTAGTTCCTCACTGTATGACCTTGGGTGAGGTTTTCATTATTACCTTTATCCCTTATAAAACAAGGATAATAATCCCTGCTTTACAAGATTGCTATGAGGTTTCAGTGATATAATATAGGCAAAGCACCTAGTTCATGTTTATCATGTGGGAGGATCAGGAAGCATTGTTGGTATTCTCTCCCACTGTTCTTGCCTGTCCTTGGCCTGTGGTGAGCTCCTGGGCTGGATGGGCTGAGTGTACCCTCTGTCTCCTCCTGCTCTCCAGCTCCGGTGTGAACTGCATACCCACCTGCCTCTCGTCCAAGTCTCCTTACTGCGAGTCCGGAGAGGCTAACGAACATCAGCTGAAGCCAGGTATATACCTTCTGCTGAGAAAGAAGCAGTGCTTCCCATGGTCTGAGCCCTCACCAATAGACCGGAGCCACGTTGCTATGCTGACATTACCCAGAAGGTTCCCATGAAGGCCAGCTGGTTCGAGCCCTTTACCCCAGACGTGGCCAAAGGACCCTGGCTCACTTACCACCTGACTCTATGTATGTGGAAAGGAGTGTGTCGCCTGCTCCCAGAGGGGTCCTTTAGTTCCCTAGGCCCATGTACTGTATTTCAGTAAAGAGAGACCTGATCACCCATCCCTGTGCTTCCATCTTGTACTAAAATTACACTCAGTGTGCCCCAGAGGTTATCTATGTGACCTGTATGCACTGACATTTTTATTATATAGGGATTTTATACACCCTACTGTTCCCTCTATTCTTCGTGTTCCCAGTTCTTGGTTTGGACCTTGATTTTGCCCTCACTGAGGCCAGCTCTGGAACTTGTTGAACCTTAAACTTGTAATAGTGAGTTCTCCATTAATATAACAAAATATCTGAGATAATTGGGTCAGAGACAAAAGAAATGAAGAAGGGGCTGGGGTACTGCAATCCCCTTCAAGGTCCCAGGGGCCTAAGGACCTCCCACTAGGCCTCATCTCCTATAGGTTCCACCGTCTCCTAATGGAGCCCCCTGGTACCAAGCCTTTAATACATGGGCCTTTGAGAAACACATTCAAACTATAACAAGCTCCTTCAGGAAAAGACAATATTTGTTCTTCTCAGATTCCCTTGAACCTAGCAGAGCACCTGACCTGTATGTCACACAGAATGTCAAGAAAATGTTTGTTGAATAAACTTAAATTTTAAGTTCTGGACTCAAGCAGATTTAAAGGAAAGTCTACAGTATTCAAGTATTCCTCCCATAGCTCATAGCTCACATTATTGTGTTTTAAATTAGACACGGATTACTGTTTTTTTCCTGTTGTAAAGGCAAATCTTACTTCAGATTTTAAAATTTTGAAAAATTCAAAACGAAGAAGCGAAAATAGCCAGATATGGTGGTATACGCCTCCCCCGGCTCAGGAGGCTGAGGCAGGAGGATCTGGAGTTCAAAGCCAGCCTCAGCAATGGTGAGGTACTAAGCACCTCAGTGAGACCCCTGTCTCTAAATAAAAATACAAACTAGGGCTGGGGATGTGGCTCAGTGATTGAGTGCCTCTGAGGTCAATCCCTAGTCCCCACCCCACACCCCCCCCAAAAAAGAAGTAGCAAAAATAAAAGTGGGAAGAGGAGGGGAAGAGAAAGAAAAAAAAATCCCACCTCTTATATACTACTATTATTAATGAATATATTCAATTGCTAACTCACCCTTTCCACGTGGTTGTTAAAGAGATACCTCACGTTCAACATCTCCCAAACTGAAGTTCTGATCTTTTCCCTTACACCTGCTCTGCTGCATCCTCCCCATCTCTGCTAATGTCAATTACATCCTTTTATTGGTCAAGCCAAAATTCTCAGAACCATTTTTTGGGGGGTACTGGGGATTTAAAGGGAGGGGGCAAAGGGTGTAGGAATGACAGTGGAATGAGTTAGACAGCATTACCCTAAGTACATGTATAAGACACAAATGGTGTGAAAATACTTTGTGTACAACCAGTGACTTGAAAAAGTGTGCTCTATATGTATCATATGAAATGAATTGCATTCTGCCATCATGTATAACAAATTAAAATTAAAAAAAAAGAAAAGTACACAAATGGAGAGGATAGACAATTCACAGAAGAAGGAACATAAAAGCCCTGTCATGAAAAAGAAGAGTTGACTACACTAGCTAAAAAGGGGCAAATTAATACCGTGAGATACTGTTTACTGTGTCAAATAGGTAAAGATTTATAAGAATTATAATATCCATACTGATGGGCATTCTTAAACACTCCTACCATGAATGAAATTGGTACAATCTTTTTGGATTTATCTTCTTGACTATTTATCTAAAGGGTTTAAAATGTGGATCCCAAGCCAGGCATGGTGGCACATGCCTATAGTCCCACTTACTCCAGAGGCTGAGGCAGGAGAATGATAAGTTTGAGGCCAGCCTGGGCAACTAAATAAAATCCTGTCTTAAAATAAAATTTAAAAAGCCTGAGATATAGCTCAGTCATAGAGCATTTGATTAGCATGTATGAGACCATGGATGGAATTCCCACTACCACAAGAAAAAAACGTAGATCCCTTTGAACCAGCAATTTCATTCTTAGTTTATCTTCAGAAAAAATACAGAATCCATGAAGAAATGTTGAGGTATATGTTTATTATCATGAAAAGAAAGAAGTTCATGTGATATTATTTTGTCCTCTTATTTTCTTTAAATGGAACCATCTCCCCCCGCCCAAACTACCCTCCACATGGTCTCTATTGCTTTTCTTTCTAAAACTGTTTTGACCAGGGTTGCCTGATAAGATACAGACTACCAGTGATGTTAGGTAAACAATAAATAACTTTGTAAAAATATTCAACGGGACATTCTTATACTAAAAACTTATTTATGGTGGTAATTTATCTGAATTTTAATTTTAACTGGGCATCCCATAGTTTTATTTCCTGACAACTATACTTTTAATACCACCTCTCCTAATATTTTCTGTTGCTATAACAAAATGTCTGAAGCAGGGTGCTTAATAAAGAAGATTATTTAGTTCACAATTTCAGAGGTTGAAAACCCAAGATTAGGTGGCCTCATCTTTTGACTTCTGGTGAGGGTCCCCTTGACTGGGTCACAACACAGGAAAAAAACAGAAAGGTAACCTGCTGCATGCGAGAGCACCAAAGGCATGAGGTATGCTCACTTTACAAAAACCCCCTCTCAAAACTGAGAGCTCTTCAAAAAGTTCATCAGTCCCTTCTGAGGGCGATGCCCCCTTGACCTAACTATCTTGCACTAGGCCCTGCCTCTTAAAGGATCTCCCACCTCAACATTGCCACAGAAGACCAGGCCTACAGCACATGCATTTTTGGGGGACAAACCACGTCTAAAGCATTGCAGTGTCTGTTGGGGTGGGGAAAGAAGGTGATAGGAAAAGAGGACCCAAGTCAGGGTTGTGGCAACGTAGGCCTCCCAATATGGAGTAACTGACAACTGAGGTAGGACTGGGCCCAGCCCCCTGCTTCCCTGCCACCTGCTTAATGTTTAACTTCCAATCTGTGTGTCTTCTGGTGGCTGGAGAAGCCTGTGTCCAGCCCTTGCATCACCAGGAAAAAATCAGGAATGGAATCATGGTTTGGAGATACAAGTCAGAGAGATTTTATTTAAATAGACTTTAATCAGAAGTAAACCAGAGAATTTTGGCAAAAGCACTTTTGTTAACTTAGAGCCAGTCACCCCATTAACAACTCACTGCGTGTGTGTGTATGTGAGTGTGTGTGTGTGTGTGTGTGTATACATTCACAGTGGGCCAGTGTCCTCCTTAAGCCTATGTATGTCTGTGCGAGAGAACCCAACTAGTTACATGCTTTAGTCTTTATGGCTCCTGCCTGGGCACTTGGGTCTCCTAATAAGGTACGGTCTTGACTTCATTCCCATTATTCATTCTTGAAGAACCCCCAATCACCGGCTTTCACCTTTCCCTTTCCAGTCTCCCTGAAGTGAGTATTGAGGATGGGGTGGGTCCTGAGGTATCGTCGGCCACAGCTGCCCATTCGGGGCGAGTTCTCAACTCTCCGAGTCCAGCGGGTAGGAGCTCCTGGTTCTGGAGCTGCGCCAGAAGTGCAGGATCACAAAAGCCACAATCCCCAGCAGCAGGAGGGCTCCCAGGGCCCCAAAGAGGATCCCAAAGAATGCGCCGAGTTTCATACTCAGGTGTTCACAATGCTCGCCCCAGGGCGTGTAGATGGAGAAGGGCACACAGCTGGGGACAGAGAGAGACAGCACTGTCATGGGTGGGGAGGTCCGTCCACAGGGGAGGCTGTTCAGGGCAGCCTGGGCCCACCCACTGGGGACAGGGGCTGTGTCAGCCCTGAGGCCATGCTAAAGCGAGGCCACTGGGCGAAGGAGTTAGGCCTGGACCTTATAAACATGGGTGTAAATTTATCTGGAGTCAGCTCCACCAGGACAGGAGGGACCGGGGCTCACCACAGGTGCGCAGGCGCAGTCACAAACCGCATCCCACCCCACAACCACCCACAGGGCGGGGCTCCTCCCTCAACTCAAACCACCCTCTACTTTGATGGGATCTGGAACTGCAGTGGGCCAGGGGTAGACCCAGGGCCCTAAGGTGACAGAAGCCGAATTTGGGATAGATCTGAAGTCTTACTGCTGTCCTTAAGGCTGCTGCTCAGAGTGTTAATGAACTCAAGCATGCATAAGGTGCTAGATTAAGGGGCTTTCTGAGGATGGGTGCTCTTATGGAAAGGCAGAGTTGGCCCAAGACACAAGAAAAAGGACTCCTTTTTCATGCAAAGTGGACCACCTGAGTATCCATTCTGGAGAAGCACAATCAGTTTGAAGGAGTTTGACTCAGGAAACCATACCCTGCTTCTTAGCATACTGGTTTGTTTCTTCTCACCCCTCACCTGCAATTCTCTCATCTTCAAAATAGTTATGATACCTACTTTGTGGCTGGTTTGAGTTTCAGAGGTAATATAGCATCTTTACTCTCCACACAGAGTAAGGATGCACCACTCTCATTTCCCACTGTAGGGTAGGCCCAAGATGGCTATAGTTAGGCTCCCTGGCCAAGACTTCCAGCAGGCTACGTTTTTAGTAGGTAGCCAAGTCATAAATGCCCTGATTCAGCATATGTACTCAAGGTCATAAAAATCTACTTGTGAGCATACGCTCACTTCCCACTGTGCATTCTGTGACCTGCATATAAAAAATCCTACGGAAAGGCTCAGTGACTGCTGCCACCTTTGAATAAAGGATAGCTACTATCCCAACTGTGCCTCACACCTTCTTTTACCTGCTGGGATCTGGAATCTATTTCCCAGGGTCTGAGCCCAGGAAAGACACCCACCATCCCTTTTCCTTTGGTCCCTGTTCTTGCTAATTACAAAGGAAACTTTGCAGTGTCTTGCCCAAATTAGATTCCCCTGCACTGTTTCCACCTCCTGCCCAGAGATCTACAAACCTGCAGCGGGGTCCATTAGGCAGGTGTTGGCACTGGCCTCCATGTTGACAGTAGCCTAAAGTGCATGGGGATACACAAGTGACGCCACTTTGGGGGCTGTAGACAAGGTGATAGTTCTTGTAGCCATTGCATTTGAAGTAATCATCCAGCATGCTCAGGTTCACTGTCAGGTTGGACAAAGATGCACATGGAAAGTAACTGATTAACACTAAATTCATACCTTTCAACCAAGAATTTCATTTTCAAGTATTTATCCTAAGAAATAGTTAAAAGAGTACACAAATACATATCTATGGGTAATCAGATCAGCACAGTTGATAATGTCAACAAAGTTTAAAAGGAGGGGGTCTTGTAAATAAGACTGTATACCCTTACCAAAGGAATGGCAGTCTCTAAGGTATGGAAATGCACCGGTAAAGAACAAAACTTTGAAGCTGAATTGAAATTCAAACTCTGCTACTAACTAGTTGTCTGATAGGGAAATTTTTCTCAGACTCAGTTTCTCTATTTTTTTTAAATTTCAGATTTCCTATTTTTAAAAGAAAATTATAATAATAGCATTGACCTTGCTGTGAGATTTAAATGAAATGTCATATGCAGAGTACATAGTATAGTGCTTGACATAGAATGAGCACTCAATAAGGCAACAATTATCATACTGTTTAAAATATATCATGATACTACATTTAAATAAAACATCAAATAATATAATATATCTGTTGAGTTGAATACTACCCAATGCCTAGGAAAGCTTGCAGTGAGATAAGAAGGTCTCTAAAAGAATGTGGTAAGGAGGGAAATGGAGAGGGGAGCTGGCCACTCTCCTTATCTTCAGTCCTTGGGAGAGGATCTGAAGAGAGTGACCCTATTTTAAAAGAATGTTCTCATAAAACATCTGAGGAAACCCCCCTGCCTGGTGGGCATGCACCCAATCCTGTCTATTCCTCCTGCTTATAGGTGTGTGTGGGGGCTCAATTGCATCCCTGCCTGCTATTGAGGAGGGAGGGAGTGATAAAATGTCCAAAACCTCTCTGTGGAGTCCTCCAAGTTCCTCCTTTGGGATCCATAAACAGTACACTGGGACATTTGCAGCCCTGGGCTTGAACAATATCAAATGGGAGTATGTATACAATTCATGAGATAAGATACTCACCATTACTTAATGAGGAGGCTATCAAATATTAGGTACAATTTGATCCCTTATTTTATTTTATTTAATATTTATTTATTTTTTAGTTGTAGTTGGGCACAATATCTTTATTTTATTTATTTATATGTGGTGCTGAGGATCGAACCCAGGGTCTCGTACGTGCTAGGTGAAGGCTCTACCGCTGAGCCACAACCCCAGGCCTTGATCCTTTATTTTAAAAATCAATATGAGAAGGTCCTTAGTCATAAAAGAAAGTTCAGAAAGATGTATACAAAGTATCATCTCTGGGGGTTGGGATTACAGGTTATTTTCTTTCTTTTTTTGGGGGGGTGTTTTTTTTTTTTTTTTGGTTTTTTCTAAAGTTTCAGCAATAAACATACTGTACTTGTATAATAAAAATTGTGGATTTTCTTTAACAAACATCACAGTCATGGCCAGGGTCATTGCTCCCATTCCTCCACCCATTCCTGCCACCCATTCCTCCCACCCTGATTGCTCAGCGTATCTGAGGGATTTCTCCTTGTTGCCCAGGAAGGGGCTTGAACTGGTTCTAGAAGGAACTCTTGCCTGGCTCTAGACCCAAGTGGAACAGCAGTTTCTATTATGTTGGGAATGGTCATTGTCCTGTAGTCTGCCCCATCCGGAAAAAATAGAATGGGTTATTCCTTGTTCTCGTTGATTCCCATTCCAGGAGAACCAGGGGCTGCCCAAACCAAGAAAGGCCTCAGAAATCCCATGTCATTTTCCAGACAGAGGTGTTAAGGCTGGGCTTGGGGAAGGTGCTCACACAGGGCCACACCCTTTCAGTAGTTGGGTATCTCTGCCCCTGGCCAGTCTTCAGGTTCCAACTTAAGATCCTCCAGATAGAGCGCAAAGGTGAAGGCAATGTCCTTATGTATGTTTGTTGGTTTTTTTTTTTGTACTGGGAATTGAACCAAGGGGAGCTCTACCTCTGAGCTTTTTTTTTTTTTTTTTACTTTTAGACAGATCTAACTTTTTTTTTCAGTCCTTTTTTTTTTTTTTTTTACTTTTGGACAGATCTAACTTAGGTTGCTGAGGCTGGCTTTGAACTTGTGATCCTCTTGCCTCAGCCTCCTGAGTCGCTGGGATCACAGGTGTGGGTCACTGTGCCTGGTCCCCTGTGCATATTTAAGCACAATGGGCATTTTAAGAAAATAACAAACAATTTTTCTAAAGAAAAGAAAACCATTAGCAGCAATAGTCAGGAAGGCCTGGATCAGCTGGGGACATAGCTCAGTGGTAGAGTGCTTGCCTAGCATGCCCAAGGCCCTGGGTTCAATCCCTTGTTCCCTGGGCCCAGAGTAGAGCAGGGGGCATATTTGGAAGGCCAGGGTTGGCAAACTGCAGTGTGAAACTACCCATGTTGGGGCATTAGCAGTATTTTGTGCCCCTGCTTGGAATCTCAGCTTTTGAGAGAGAAATTTTTCTCAAACATTACAAACAACAAAACTAAATTAACTTGCTTCTTCCTTGTCTGGGGACCACCATGAGTTTGTGTAGCCTGAAGATCTGAAACAGGTTCCCTCTATTCCCTGCCTCACCCTCTCCCAATTGTTCCCAAGATAGAGTGACTCACGAGCCATCACATCCCGCACATCTTCCCAGGAGATGGGGTGGAAGACAACATCTATGCGGGGCTCCTGACTCTTCCAACTCTCTGAGGTTACTGGGAAGAGGAAGGCCTCCACCACGGCCTCCCGCAGCTGCTCATTCAGGAAGTGTATGACGGGGCCCCGAGGACGGTACTGGAACTCCGAAGTGACCAACCAATGCTGAATGGATTTTCCTGAGGCTGATGCTGGGAGAGAGCTATGTGGGAGGGGGTCAGTGAGGACTTCAGGGGTGGGGGCATGAGACATGCGGGGGCCAAGCAGGGACAGTCTCACTTACGTTTGTTCTACGTGACTGTTCCAGAGAAAGGCCCGCACGTCCAGGGTCCCTAGTCGGTATGCCACCTGCGATGGAGGATGGGCAACGGGAGGGCAGGGTGGTGGTGAAGCCCAGACTAGAGAGGAGACCCCTCCCACTGCAATGCATTTCTTTATCCCTGACTGGTTTCACCTTTGAAAGTGAACCCAGGATCCCCAGATTGTTTCCCACCCATCTCTGCATCCCCACACTCCAGCCAAGTCTAGAGATGAGTTATTGGTAAGTGAAGGGCTTTCCATTCTTTCCCCCTCCACCTCACATTTACAAGAGGGGACTCTGAAATGAATGACCCCAGCTTGCCTCTGGTCCCTGACTCACCAAACCATAGCTTCCCGTCATGTATACTGAACATCAGTTGCTTAGCCACACCGAGGGATGGACAGGTGCTGGGATCTCAAGGTAACTTAGGAAGAGACTGCACTCAAAGAGCCCATGTCACGTGCAGTAGATAAGCGTCTATGGATTTTGGCATTTCAGGGTGGGGTGCTCTGATAGTAGGGGTAGTAATAGTGATTGCATATTTGTTTGGTACCGGAGACTGAACCCAGGGGTGCTTAATCACTAAGCCACATCCCCAGTTCTTTTGATTTTTTATTTTTAGAAAGGGACTTACTAAGTTGCTTGGGCCTCGCTAAATTGTTGAGACTGGCTTTGAACTTGTGGTCCTTCTGCCTCAGCCTCCTGAGCTGCTAGGATTACAGGCATGCACCACCACTCCAGGGAGTAATAATAATTTTTTGAATGCTTGTCGTGTTTCAGGCACTGTGCTAAGCGCCTTATGTACATTATTGTTTAAACCTAGACACAACCTATTGACATAGGTACTATTATTATCCCTACTTATACAGATGAGCAACTAAAATGCTTGTCTAATTATTATACCTGCTCTAGTAAGTGGTAGGGCAGGGATCTGAAGCCCATGTCTGGTATTCCAGAGCCTCAGCCACTCAACAACTGGGCTGCTTTGCCTGCAGTTGAGGTGTGGACAAGGACATGGGGCCAAGGGGCAGGACCCCCAGTTCCCCCTGGAAAGTCAGAGTAGAAGTGAAGTGACCACTTGTGCTTCTTCCACATAACACCAAAGAAGTACAGGACTTGAGAGACACTTGAAGGGAGAGAATGAGGTGACTTGGCACCCTAGGTTCTGCTCATGGCGATGGGTGAGTCTCACCCCTTCTGAGGTCTCTAACCTGAGGCTTCCTGGTTCCCTACCCCAACCACGGACCTCCCCTGGGCAAGAGGCTCCAGCCTCCTCTGGCCAGTGGATCTAGGAAAGGGACACATAAACGATGGCCCAGCCCCAGCCCCAGCCCAGCACACAGCACTGACCGAGGCATTGACATCTGTGATGGAGGCGTTTTGTTCTTCAGTGAGAAAGAGCCGGATGATTCTGAGGGGAAGCTCTGGAGGTGGAAGAAGCCAGAGTCATCACCATCTCTATCCAGACTTGTCTGAGAAGTCCATTGGGCCAGCCCACGGGGAACATTTCATTCCCCAGTGACAGTCACTGGCCACTTCCTGCTCTCACCCCGGTTCTCCCTCTAGGCTGGCAGGGCTTCTGCGGAGCCTGCCTCACTGAGCCGGGAAGCCTCTGTTTCAGCCTCCCCTCAGCAGGTCCATGGTTAGGGCTTTGGCAGCTGCTCTCATGACCCCCACAGCCTACAGCTTACCATGTGAGGAAACAGTTCAGAGTTCTATTCTGTGAGTTTGAGGAACTTAGCCCTGGACCCTAGTTTCCCCACCTTCCCCAAAGATGAGAAGAGTGTGGAGGCCGAGCCGGCAGGTGCATCTGGTCCTACCTCTATAGACGGTTGGAGTGAAATTGTTCCCAGCCACTAAGCAGCGGTCGTCAGTGAAGGCTGGGGGACAGGTGCAAGTGGGCTTGCAGCCCAGTGTCTGGGAGATGTAGCAGTGGCCATGGTTGTAGCAGTAATTTACAGGACAGGAATGGTTCCAACAGGCAAAAGTGTCCTCCACAGCTGCAGAGGGAGCAGGGAGGTCAGCAACACCACACTGGGGCAGCTGGGGGGGGGAGGGGAGGGACAGCCTTGAGAAACTGTTTTAGGGGCATCTCAGTTTCTTCCCCCTCTGCCCCTTCAATCTGTGCTCTGCTGGTGGACCATGCTGAACTTTGAACTATCCTCCCCTTTCCCACCCTTTCTTGCAAGGTGACCCTTTTCCTCTGCCAGGTAGGTATTCTTTCACTTCTGCTGAAGTAGTAGTGTGTTTGTCAGAGCCTCTATATCCAGGAAGAACCCGAAAGGCTAGTGGGAGAAGAGCCCCTCACCCTGCACTTTCACCTCCTCTTAGGCTGTGGCTCTGCCCATTCTGGCTTCTGCTCAGAAGACACCATGTTCTGCTGACTTTCTTTGGTCACCTTCAGGGGCTTGAGGGGCAACCTCCTTGTGATCTCCTTCATGGTGACTACAGAGGCCCCCAGGTGAAGGAACAGATGAGTGGAAGAGGATTCAAAGGAAAAATGCCCTGACTTGTGAAATGCAGAGCCTCGGGGCCTGAAGTCTCTGAAGACCCCCCAAGGAGTCCTCAGGCCCCAGCTTGTCTCTGATTTTTTGGATTTCAGACCATTTGAGTCTTTTGCCCTGGGTTTTCTCCATCAGTGTCTCAGAGCTGCTCTGCCCTGGCCCCTCCCCTCTGCTTGGACAACCTCTTCTCCCTCAGTGCCATGCCAGCCACTGCCTCCTATCCAAGCCATCCTTACCCTGGCTTCCCGTGGTGAGCACTCTAAAGACTAACTAAAAAAGGAAGACCAATGGTTTGCCTTTGGCTGCCCTTGCCCTTGAGATGTCACCTGGCCCCAGAACCTCCTCCTGCCAGGGCCCTGTTCCCAGCTCACCTGCACAGTGATGTCCGTCCCCGGTCATGTGTGGAGGGCAGGCCCCACAGCCCACCCCAGGATGGCACTGCACACCCGGGAAGCACTGCTCGTCACATGGATCCCTGGAGCGTTCACAGTACTGGCCGAAGGTCTCCCCATTACACTTGCAGCTGGCCACCTGAAACAGGGTGCCGATCACTGGTTGGCCAAAAGGCTGAGCCACTGAGGGCTTCTGGGTGTCTCTATACCACCGACCTCTCTGGTATGGGAACCCATGGACCCGAGTCCTTAGAATCTACTAAACAAAGTTTTTTTTTTTTTTTCCATTATTGGTTCTTTTTAATTATACATGACAATAGGATTCATTTTGACATAGTTATAAATGCATAGCATATAATTTGTTCTATTTCAGTCCCCAGTACTTCCCCTCCTCCTCCCCTCCTTCCTCCCCTGTTCCATTCCCTCTGCTCTCCTGATCTTTCTGCTGTTTGCTTGTGGATTACATGATGGTGAGATTCACTGTGGTATATTCACAGATGTACCTAGGACAGTTAGGTCTGAGTCACTTCACTGTCTTTCCCTATCCCATCTCTCTCCCTTCCCTTCCTTCCCCTTCTTCTCCCTTCCCCTACTGATCTTTCTTCTATTATTTTACTTTTAATCTCCCCCACTTATCTTGGGTTAGCTTCTGCATATCAGAGAAAACATTTGACTTTTTGGGACTGGCTTATTTCACTTAGCACGATAGTCTCTAATTCCATCCATTTACTAGCAAATGCCTTTATGTCTGAGTAATATAATATTCCATTATATATATATATATATATATATAAATCTATAGATATATATATATATATATATCTCACATTTTATTTTTCCATTCACCTGTTGAAGGGAACCTAGGTGGACTCCAAGCTTGGCTATTGTAAATTCTGCTGTTATAAACACCTTCTTGACCAGGCTGGGCCTGTAAATCCTGCCTAAAACCACATGACCCTCCTGTCCACTCAGCCTTCCTGGGCTGCTCTTTACCCTAATCCCCCTGCCTGGCCATTGAGCAGGATCTCAGACTCAGCCTTCTCACACCATATCTTCTTCCCTGGAATCCTTACTGGAGTAAGACAGGGAAGGAGGAGAGGGAGAAAAGAATACATCAGCTGGACAAGACTCGTGGGTGAGTATCTTGGCTGGAAACATTGATGAAGAAGAGTATCTCTGAGCTAAAAAAGAGACTCCCTTAAACTGGAGAGGGAGAGAGTAAAGAAGAAAACAAAGGAGCTTGGGGGTGTTCAGACAGAGGGGCTTTCACCTCTCTTCCAATGCCACGATGATAAGGTCCCAGAGAGAAAGGTCTGGGTGCTGCTCTAGGCAGAAGGCCCATAAGCAAGCATCTCAGGCAGGTTTCCTGGGCATGAGCACAGCACAGCAGCAGTGTCGTGTGTCCTGGGGCCACAGGACGGGCTGAAGGACCTATGCTGGAGCCTGAGTGCATCTGCCCAGGGAGAACAGCACCTTCCCACCCACACCTCAGCGACCCATGCTGGGGAAATGTAAGAAAGGCTTACGCAGAAGATCCCTACCAGCCTGGAAGAATGGAGCCACAGGCAAGGAAGTTCTCTGTCTTCACCCGAGTGTGTGGCCTGAGAGGGCACCTGCTGTACTCAGCCACCACGGCTCCTCCCACGTCCCCAACAAGCACCTTCCCCAGGAGGGGCTGAATCATCACTACGCTTCAATTCCCACTTTCTTTCCTCTCAACACAGAAACCTTCTTCCTCCCGATTCCCCACACTCACCTCCATGGAGGAATTGCCCACCCATCTGGTCTGATTGTATACACACTGGCTCTCTGCACTGCAAAAGCAGACCACAGTCTTGGGCTGGAGTACAGATGACAAGTTAACATTGGCTTTTCTTGCTAGAATCTCCAGAGTGAATGGCTCCAGCATCTTTGGTGTCCATAGCAGAGTACCATTCTCTGTCCGGGGAAGACGAAGTGGGTAAGGGCTAGGAGACTCCTCTGCTCTGTGGTCTGAGGTGACCTGCCAACTAATACCCTGATTGCTGGCTCTGGGCTCCGCCCCATCCACTTCAGACCTCCCCCCCAAAAGAACACACCAGACTCCACTTATTGATGGTAGGTGGAACTCCACAAAGGGGAAGACCCTGTCCCCTGAAGAGAACCCTGCCTGGGCCTGTACCAGGATGTCCTGGGCAATGAAGGATGAAGACCAGGATCCTCCCAACACTTCCCCAGGCTACACTGCAGGCCACCCTGGCTTCATGTCAGAGCAGTGTCTTCCCTCACGCTGATTTCTCAACCAACCCCCCCCCCCCCCGCCTTTAACTTCCTGGACCTCTGACCGGCTACCCCTTCAGATACCAGACTATGGGAAAACACTCCTAGATATCTGTGATCAAACCTGTCTTATGTTTTCTTTTCTTTCTTCTTTTTTTTTTTCAAGAAAATAAGAAAAGTCTCCTTTAAACAGTAAGTTGAAAGGAACCAATAGTAGGAAATACATGGGAATAACTCCCCAACCACAACTCTTCAGGAGAGGAGCCCAATGGAGAAGAAAATCTTCGGATGTCATTGTCTTGCACCAGGGCAGATGCCACATGGAATAAAAGGGATGCAGACAAAGCACTCCCTCCTTTTGCACAGAGAAAGAGGCAGTCAGAGCTCAGAATAAGGTCTCTGCAAGCTTTGATTTAGCAAATAATGGTCACCAGCACAGTGACTGCAGGCAACAGAAGGAAAGCTACGTCCCTGTGCTTTGATCCTTTGACCCAGATCATAGATGCAAGCCTGGGGGTCTCTAACACTTTTTCCAGAGGGCAGGACCAGCTCTGCTTGGTCCCAGCACAGAAAACCAGACAAGAAGGGACAGAGCCAGGAAAATGTGGTTAACCAAGGCAAAAATAGTAGAAAGGTACCAAAAGGAAGTGTTTGTGTTTCTTTAAATCTTGTCCCACCTTCTATCCTTCTTTTAATAGATATAAAAATGTTGTAAAGTAGTAGTTTTAATTGCTGTACTTGATCATTCTAATAATTTGATGAATGCATAATGACGATTAAAGATCACTGCATAAAATGAAAAACTAAAAAGTAACAATAAAAAAAGAATTGCATATTATTAGATGAAGATTAACTGGTCTTTGAATCAATTGTCTATGCCCAGAGCCAGCCCAGCCATCTGGTCAAATCTTCATAAGCCTGACACTGCTATTTGCTGAGGAGAGAGAGGTGCCTGTTTGAATTGTAGGTGTCCTTCCTAAGAAATGCTGGTCCTGGAGAGTCAAATAAAAAATGTTGCAGAGTAAAGAGATGTAAAATGACCCAGCTTGACTTTGAGCTCATCCTCTGACCACCTCCACCCCCAGATTCTTACCAAAGAGATTCATGTCAGGATTGTGGTCTCTGAGGGTGAAAGTGACATCCTGAGAGTTGCTTGTACATTGAATTCTCTTGGTCTGCCCCCTGTAGGCTTCGATCTCCTGGCAACCATCTATAAAGGGCGGGTACTCATCTAGAACAGAGAGGGGACAGGATGTGAGACAGGATCTGGTGGACAGAGGGGGAGCTTTCTCTCCACTTTTTCCCCTCTGACCTGTGTGAGACAGACCCAGCCCACTGCCCCACCTCTGGAGGCAGGAGTTAGTCTTGTCCCTGCCCTCAGACCTAGGCAGAGCACATTGGCCATGTCCTTGTCCACCTGTCCAAATCTTTAGACTCTCTTTCTCTACCTCCCCTTGAACAGGGCTCATCTCTAGCCCTTTCCTGTTCAGATCATCAATTTTAACATTGAGAAAGCCCTGAAAACCATGAGGTTGATGTCTACCTGGACACTGCATTAGCCTAGAAATAGAGGCAATTGGACCTTTTCAATGGTCTCTTTCTTGGAGTCCTGCTATTTTCATTCCATTGTTCATTCATTCATTCATTCATTCAGTCAGTCAACAAATATTTATTGAACACCTAATATGTATGTAAATGGTGCTACTCTAGGATATAGCAAGAAGCAAGTTGTGAAAAAAAGATACCTGTGGACATCACAAAATACAAGTAATTATAAATACAAAGGGGAAAAATAAGGAGGTCAGGTGACTAGGAAGTGTGGTGAGCGTGAAACTTTAGATAGGGTGGCCAAGAAGAGCTCACTGAGGAAGGGACTCAGAAGGAGCAGAGGGGCAGCTGGTAGCTGTCTGGGGAAACAGGCCTTCCAGGGAGGTCTGAGTGGAGAGGGAGCGCTATATGTTTAAAGAACCCAAAGGAGCCCCTAGGTCAGGAGTGGAGAAAGCAAGGCAGGGAGTGTTGGAAAGAGAAGGCCACGGGAGCAGACTGAATAGAGCCATAGAGGCCACAGTGATGGCAGTGTCCTCGTCCTCAGAGGAGTAACACCAGAAAAATGACCCATTGAAGGAAGCGCCATAGGAGGGGGGCTCCTTACATGCCCGCCCCTTCCCTGGGCCCCCTGCCACTTACTGATGGAGGTGTTCATCTGCTGGTAGCTTCTAAAGAGCATCTTGGTGTGCAGCCCGGTGTCTGTGTTGTTTGTGGCCAGGGAGTCGTAGATGCATTGCCTCTCTCCATTACACTCCGAGATCAAAAGTTTATTCAAGGACTTGTTTATGAGTTGGTCATAAAAGACAGGGGTGAAATTGGAAGGCGGATGGTCGATCCTTTTGCCAAGGAGGCCTGATCCGTTGACCTTCCCTATGACACAGGAGGAGCAACAGTGGTGGTACCAGGGGTGGGGCTCCAGCCATATTTCAGCTGCACCCACTTCTTATCCTCACCATATAATGTTCAGGCAGGGGAGGGGGCAGGGAAGGAGGCATGGATTTGGCTTCTGTTTTTCTTCTCCTTTTAGGTGTTGGGGATTGAAACTAGGGCTTCATGCATGCTAGACAGGCACTCTGCTACTGAGCTACACCTCAGCAACAGCATCCAGCTTCTGAGCCTGGAAGTTTCGATCATTACTTCGGGCCACCCCTTCCCCTGTCCTGTCTTCCCAGTCGAGACATGTAGGTAGGATTGGAGGGTGCATTTCTAGGGTGTCTGCAGAATCCTCAGACCCTTACCAAGGATGGAGGTCTGGCCCCCACAGCCCTGAGGGAGACAACATACAGAGACTTGGTCTCCCCCGTCTGCCCTGAGGATCTGAGGCCCCACTTACAGGTCATTCCATAGTGAAAAAGTGTCTCCTCAGAGCTGTTTCTGGGAACAGCTGAGCCATTGGGCATCATGAAGTCGTCTTCTGGATTGTCGTTCCATACCCCTGAGGGACAGAGTAGGAGGTTGGCCACCAAAGGAATGTGGCTCTTCCCTTCCCTGGGGAGCATCCAACAGGTCAGTTACAATGGATCTCAGTTTGGGTCCCAGAAGGAAAGAAGGGGACCATGACCTCATACCCCACCCCTCTTCTTCAGGGGTGGGGGGAGGAGGAAATGAAGAAAATGGAGGAAGGCAGGTGGCAAGGTTGGGGGGAATGTGGAAGGCAAAGAGAAAAGAAGGACAGATGTGGGAGACAGGAAGGTGGCAGGGCGGCCATGTTCCCTAGGGTGGCAGGAGAAGGACCAGGCTCCATCTGGGGTCTCAGCTCCTACTTCTTACCCAGGAGCCCCTCTGTGTGGTTTCGATACTCCTCTGGGAGGCTAGAGGAGGCATGGAGGATGTTGGAGAGAGCGATGACTGAAATGGCCACCGTCCCATCAAAGCTGGCTGAAACCTGGGAGCCATTGCGGGTCAGTAGGACTCCAGTGGTGTTGAATATCTCTGGGCCTAGAAGATAGGGAGGCAAGTGAAGAGACAGCCAGTACCAGCACCCTGGAGGCCACAGGACTTGGCAGCAGTGAGGGCTCATGACCCAGAGGAGACTCTAAAAGCAGGTCTGGGATGTTCTGAGAGTGTCTCATCTAGAGGCCCCACCCAAGCACTCAGGCCACCCTCAAGGCCCACTGCATCTCCTTCTTCCTTGAGCCTGGAGATGGGGGCTACCGAAGGAGTAGACTCACAGCACTGGAAGGAAGGAGGGAAGCAAAGAGAGAAAATGTAATGCCAAAGGGACTACAGGGGTGGTGACCACTCTGCTCTGCCCAGTGCTATCATCTCTATTCCCCAGCACACTGCTCCCAGGGTGCTGAGCACCTTGCTGACCTCTACCCTGGGACTCAGGAAAGGGTGACTGACAGCCCTCCCTAGCCTACCTTCTGGGTCTTCACGGTTGGTCTCAAATGTCACATTCTGGTTATTGTGCAGAACATGGATTGTGTCTTCCCGCTCAAGGAGCCACTGAACCTGGAAAGTAATTGGAGGAAACTTCATTTCCATTGGAGTAGGTGGAGCCAAGGTCCAGATAGGAGGCTCTAGAGAGCAACTCGGCTAGGACCTAGTCTCTGGAAGGAGAGGAAGGCGATAAGGAGGGTGGCAATGAGGTTCTGCCAGCTGACGTGTACAGAAAGGTTGGCATGGCACATTTCTTGGATTATCTTATTTAAATTTCACAACATCAACACTTTACCACAAGAAAAAAGCAACACAGGAAGCTCAGTGGTTTTTCAAAGTGAAACAACTGGTAAGAGGTGGAGGCGGGACCCTAATCCTGCCATTTAGAGGTTTTACTCTGAGGGCTCCACTGGCAGGATGTGTCCCCCCCTCTTTCTGTCCCTTCCCATTCTTTGTTCTCTTCCTCCTTCTGGGCCTTGGTATCAGCTGAAGGTCCCTGAGGGCCTCTCGGGTGGTGGAGTGCGGGGTGGTGCAGGGATCCTCTGGGCGTCCTCCACTCACTGTGATGGGGCCCAGGCCGCTGGAATTATATTGAGCAGCAAAGGCGATGAAGTTGGTGGCCCTGGCTGAGCCTGTCTGGGCAGTGCGGCCCTGCAGCAGGAAGGAGGAGTTTCCATCCCTGCCTCGGACCAGCAGGAAGTCCCCCAGCCCATTGAAGGTATAATTGGCACCATCCAAGGTGGTGATGTGGGGGTCTCCAAACATCCAGGCTGGAAACAAGGAGATAACACATTACTAACAAACCAGGGCTGAGATTCCCCCTGCCCACCAGGCAGGGCATCTGCCAAGTGGACTCAACCCTGGGCAGATGCTCAGGGGGTATAGAACCTGCCCCCAAGACCTCTTGTACTTGTGTTCCCCGACCCCATCCACATCCCTTTCCTAACTCTATATTCAAAGCCCCTCTATTTGCTGTCAGCCCCACATAGGAATTGTCCCCATCTTTCCTTGTGACCCCAGGTCTGCCCCAGGAATCTGGTCCTCTCCCAGGCCTGGCTGTACATCCCAGAGGCCAAGGGGATGCTCTGCGGGGGTCCCAGTCCTCACCGGGCCGCGGGGGTGTGTATCTAGCACAGCTGACGCGGGGCCGCCTTTGCTGGTACAGGATGCAGAAGGAGGGCTTGTCGTTCCAGCGGCAGCACCAGTTCTGTGTCTCCAGTTCCTTGTCTGTGGAGGAGATGGGTGTGTTGGGGGTCAGAGGGGAGGCCTTGGAGAACAGCTGCAAGATGGCATCAGTGGCAAGAGCATGGCTTTGGAATCAGGCACAGAGCAGTTCCCATCCCACTCTCATGGTGATGGATCAGATTCTGTCTCCCTTGTAGGTGTGGAGTCCCAAGGCTCCCAAAGAGCCAGAGTGGGGAGGACGTGGGGAGAATGGAGACTATGATGTACAGACGGAAGCTGGGTGAACACAGATCATCCTGCACCCTCTCCCCCAGACCTCCATGTTTTCTAGCTCCCTTGGAGGGTCTCTGCAGGGAAAAAATTCTGTCTTCCACCAAATGGCCTGCTGATGTGGGCTCAGGGACTGGTTCAGGCTAAGTACTCTCCCCCTGCCTGGAAATATGTCCAGGCAGGGGGCCATGGGGCCAAGTGGAAATGAGGCAAGAGGCCCTTAGTCATAAATCTCTAGAATGCTAACGGACAGGGATGGTGGAAACTTCCTAACTTCACAAGATCAGAGAATTGAAGGCCAAGGGGAAAAGAGCTGGGAAGGAATGGGGACAAGAGGCTTCATATGAGGGTCGGAAAGAGCGGTGGGCACCAGAGCGGGTGGGAGCGAGATCTCCGAGGATGCACATACCAATCTCCCAAGGACCCTGCACATGAAAGCCTTCTTGAAACTCTCCCCAGGGCCCATAGCTGCAGCACACGCCACCACGCCAGGAGGAGAAGCTGCACAAGTGTCTTCCGCGGAAGTCCCACCATCCTGCAACGAGGCCGGGAGTCCTCAGGCCCAGGCTTGGGTGCCTGAAGTGGGGCAGGGATGATAAGGAGATGTCTCTGGGGAAGGGGCTGAGAGTGTATTAGAAAGGGGAGTGACAGTATGAACAGAGGAGATGGTAGGTGGGCTTGTGGGGATCAGGAAGAAGGTGTCACCTATGTTGACCTGCTGGAACCGTAAGTCCCATCGCCCCTGCTGCCAGGAACAAGGGCAAGAGATCTGGTTCCAGTTCCATCTGGGCCACTGAGGCTGGCTCTTTAACCACCAGAGGCACTTGAGACGGTAGTTGGGCCTTTCTTCCCCGTGCAGCCTGTAGACCTGCAGCCCCCGGAGGCCTAGAGAGGCAAGAGAAGAGGGATTAGCCCGGGACCTGGGGCCACAGGCTCTGTTTCAGCGAATGCACCCCCATGTCTCTCACTGCCTCTCTGTGCAGGTCTTCCTGGGATGGAGCCCTTTTCAGATTGGCAGTGATTCCTTCCTTCAAACCCCTTGGACATGAGCTCCAAAGCCCTCAAACTTTGGCTTTCAGGGCAAAACTCTGTGCAAGTGCTGGGCGGGCAGGCCTTGCCTTGATCCAACTCGGAGCCAAACCCTGGTTTTACTCACCCACCTCCCATCCCTTCCTCTAAGCTCTAACACCTTCCAATCCCTCCAGATCAGTTCTGCTTCATGCACACTGCACTGTGGTCAGGGACACCACCCTCCACTCAATCATGCCAGGAGACACTGTCCTTCATGCCTCACCCTTGCTCTCCACCAGCAAAGACCCTCCAGTGGCCAAAGCAGCCAGGACAGAAGCTGGTGCCCAAAGGCCATCTGGGAGCCACCGAGAAGCTGGCATGTGAAGCAGAGACTTGCTGCAACACCCTGCAGCTGAGGAGTCTTCCTCTGCATCCAGGGAACAACTGTTTTTTCTTTTTTATTAATACATATTAATTTGTACAAAGCAATGGTTTTCCCTGGGACAGTTCTGTACATTATTCACCCTCCCTTCTGGCCTCTTTCACCTTCCCCACACTCCCTGGTCCTCTTTCCAGTCCCTAAGAGTCCCTCTTCTACCTTCAGGTCATTTTAAATATATTTCTTGATTTGTTTCAGTTTCCACAAATGAGGTACATGTGGAACATGTGATACTTGTATTTTTGTGTCTTGCTAATTCCCCTTAACCTGATGTCTTCTAGTTCCATCCATTTTCATTCTTCTTTATGGCTGTACTCTACTGTGTATATATTATGTTTTCTTTACCTCTTTATCTGTTGACAGGTGCCTAGGCTAATTCCACATCATGGCCATTGTCAATAAATATCCATACTATTTTCCATAGTGGCTATACAACTTACATTCACATCAATAGTGTACAAGGGTTCCTTTTTCTCAACATCTTCCCCAGCATTTGGGGTGAAAAAAGAATTTCAGTATAGTTGTGTTTGTTTTGCGGTGCTAGGGATAGAACTCAGGTGTGTGCTGGGCAAATACTCTAACACTAAACTAAACCCAGCCTTCAATGAAGTTTTGACTTGCATTTCCCTGATGGCTAAAGACATTGAGCATTTCTTTTTCGTATTTCTTATTGTCCATTTGTACTTCTTCTTTTGAGAAGTATCTATTCAGATCATTTGCCCATTTTTTGACTGAATTACTTTGTTGTTGTTAAGGTTTTTTGAGCTTTCTTTATATATTGTGGCTATTAATCCTCTGTCAGACAAATAGTTGGCAAAGATTTTCTCCCATTCTGTAGGCTGATTCTTCACTCTGTTGATTGTTTCCTATGCTGTGCAGAGCTTCTTAATTTGATATAATCCCATTTGTTAATTCTTGTTTTTGTTACCAGACTTATTGGATTCCTAGCCAGAAAATCATTTCCTGTGCCACTATTTTGAAGTGTTTCCCCTGTGTTTTATTATAGTAGTTTCAAAGTTTTAGGTCTTACATTAAGGTCTTTGATCCATTTTGAGTTGATTTTTGTACAAGTTGAGCTAGAGATCTAATTTTAGTCTTCTGCATGTGAACCTCCAATTGTTCCAGGAGCATTTGTTGAAGGGACTGTCTCATCTCCAGGGCATGTCTTTGGCACCTTTGTGGAATCAGTTGACTGAAGAGGTGTGAATTGATTTCTGGGCCCTCATTTCTGTTCCATTGGTGCTAGTGTCTATTTTTTGTGTCAATACCATGCTGAATTCATTACCATGGCTTTGTAGTATGTTTTAAAATCAGGTGTTGTGATGCCTCCAGTATGATGCTTTTTGTTTAGGATGGCTTTTGCTATTCTGGGTCTCTTGTGCTGCCGTATAATTTTTTTTTCTATTTCCGTGAAGAATGTCATTGGTATTTTAATGGAGATTGCATTAAATCTGCATTTTGGGTAGTAGGGTTGTGTGTTTGTGTGTGTGTGTGTGTGTGTGTGTGTGTGTCTATAGTGAGTGGGATTACTTTTCTGATTTCTTTCCCAGCAAATTCATTTTATAGGTTTAGAGAAAAGCTACTGGTTTTTATGTATTGATTTTCCCTCCAGTTACTATATTGAATTTTTTAGTTCTAAAAGTCTTTTGGTGGAGTTTTTGGAATTTTCTATGTATAAAATTATATCATCAGCAAACATTGATAATTTGACTTTCTCCTTTCCAATTTATATGCCCCTCCCTCCCTCTCTTCCTCCCTTCCTTTATCTTGCCTAATTGCTTTGGTTATACTTTCTAGCACTGTAGTAAATAAGAGTGATGAGAGTGGTCACCTCTATTTCACTCCTGATCTTAGGGGAAATGCTCTCAGTTTTTCCCCATTCAATAGGATATTGGCAATGTATTTGCCGTATATAGTCCTTATTATATTGAGGTATGATCTTTATGTACCTAATTTATTCAGGGCTTTTATGATAAAGTGATATTGAATTTTATCAAAATCTTTTTCTGTATCTATTGAGATGGTCATAAAACTTTTGTCGGGGCTGGGATTGTGGCTCAGCGGTAGTCTTCTGCATGTAAACCTCCAGTTGTTTAAAAATATTTAAAAAATAAATATTTTTTAAAAACTTTTGTCATTGATTCTGTTTTTGTGCTGTATTACATTTTTTATATTACATTTATTGATTTGTGTATGTTGAACCATCCTTGCATCCTTGGAATTAAATCAACTTGATCACAGAGTATGATCTTTATAATGTACCTTGTATTAAATTTGCAAGTATTTAATTGATGACTTTTGCACCTATGTTCATCATGAATACTGGCCTATAGTTTTCTTTTTTTGTTATTGTGTCCTTACCAGGTTTTGTTAGTAGGAGAATACTGGATTCATAGAATGAATTTGAAAGTGTATTCCCCTTTCCATTTTATAGAAGAGTTTCAGAAGCATTGTTTTTCTTTAAAAGTCTGGTAAAATTCAGTAGTGAATCCATCCACTACTGGGTTTTTCTTTGTTAGTAGACTCTCTTTTTTTACTGTTTCAATCTGCTCACTTGTTATTTTATATTTAGGTTTTTTTTAATGCCCTTTGGCTCAATTGGGTATGTCATATGTGTCTAGAAATTTGTCCATTTCTTCTAGATTTTCCAATTTATCCACATATAGTTTTTTTTTTTTTTTTTAAAAAAAAAGGATCCTTTGGATTTCAGTGGTGTCTTGTAATGTCTCCTTTGTCACCTCTAGTTTTATTTATTTGTGTCTTCTTTCTCTTTCTTATGGTAGCTAAATGTTCGTCAATTTTATTTCTTTTCAAAGAGCCAACTTGTTTCATTGATCCTTTGTATTATTCTTTTAGTCTCTATTTCATTTATTTTCACTTGATCTTGACTTCTTTCATTCTACTGATCTTTGGTTTGCTTTGCTCTTGGTTTTGTGAAACCTTGAGATGAACTGGTAGGTTATTCATTTGAATAACTACTTACATGGCTGACCTTCAATGCTAAAACACCCTTTACTCTATCACATTCTGGAAACTATAATTTCTTTCTCTTTGGGGCCTCTGCACATTGCATTGAGTCATGGAGGAAGCAACATGGTTTGCCTCCGGATACTGAAGTCTTTTTACCAGAGTGAAAGCTATTTGATAGCAAACATAGTTGACCTTTTAACTTTTATTCAGCACACGGAGGTGCTAAATAAATGTTGACTGAACTTCAGATCTCTGGAACTCCTTTTGGTAGATTCTCTTAAGGGATCTTATCTGGGCTTTCATTTCAGCTCTGAGACAGGACATTTGGAGTATGGTTCTAACTGTCCACTTATATCCCCACCTCCCATTTTCCTTACTTCTAGGATCTGGGCCCCCACTGACAGACCTCCTGGATTTGGCATATCTGATTTGACTCATGTGAGACAGAGCTCCATAGACCACACAGTATCTAAGGGTATGGAAGGCACTAGTTGCTCCTTGGGCTCTCCCAGATCCAGAGTGTACTTGTAGGCTGTCAGACTATGCAGGGAAAGGCTTTCAGGATGATGGAGAAGTTAGGGACCCACTTTATAAGACTGCCATGACATCCAGAGTGAAGGACAAGAGAAGATTGAGTCCACCTAAAGTATGATAAGGTGGTGTTTTTACCTAATTTGGAATTCAAGAATCGGTCCGGACGATACTTCTCCCACAATGGCCGGGACATCAGTGGGCTGTTTTCAAAATACCCATCTCCACTGCAGGCAAAAGAAAGACTCTTAGTCCTCTGTCACTCATAGGTTCTTCCCTGTCCTTTGAAAGACATGAATTCAGTTAGTCTGCCAGCACTCAGTTCAGTTGGTCAGCAGTCAGCAGCTGGTAGCCTATTACTCAGTTGGTCAGTTGGGCAGCCAACTTAAATCCCTGAGTTCCAGTACTAAGGAGAAGGGAGGAGATGATAGGCAAGGTTGGAAAGGTTCTGTTTATTCCACATCTGATTTCTGACTGCAAGAAACCAGTAGGTCCACTTGGTCATGAGGTAGAAATGTGAAAATAACAAGAGTTCAGGCTTCCTTATCATTTGTTTCCCCTAAACTAGGGATGGAGAGGGACAGACGCCAGGGGCCAACATATTGCATTGGTTCAGAGCTGGACTCTGAGTCAGACAATCCTGGAGTCAACTGATGATCCCAACTCTTCCTAGCTTAATGACCATGGATAAAAGGGATCACAGTAATATCTACCTCACAGCATTGTGAGTATTCAATGCAGTAACATCTGCACATGGCCTCAGAACTGAGTGAGGACCCTATACGATGGCACCACCACCTCCAGCACTGACATCACATCCTCAGTGTAGGTCCAGACGGGAGGAAAGCCAGGAGCCTCACTACCCCCGTAGCCTGTAGCCTCACTCTGGGCGTATGACACAGAGCAGTGACTCCTGATCTTTGCTCTTCTGTGACACAGGCAAATGACACACGCATGTCATTTAGATGTTTTCAGGGTGGTGTGAGATTCCTTGCCAGGTGGGTAATTCCACTCCTTTCTCCTTTACAGCATATCAAGAATCAAGTGAAGCCGAGCACTGTGGCACATGCCTGTAATCTCAGCGGCCTGGGAGGCTGAGGCAGAAGGATAGTGAGTTCAAAGCCTGCCTCAGCAACTTAGTGAGGCCCTAAGTAATTTAGCAAGACCCTGTCTCTAAATAAAATAGAGAAAGGGCTGGGGATGTGTCTCAGTGGTTAAGTGCCCCCTGGGTTCAATCAGCAATACCAAAAAAAAAAAAAAAAATCAGAGAAAGAAAAACAATCAAGTGAAATAAATGCAATTATAGGGCAACCTGAATACACTGTAATGTAAGAGAAAACCATATGCAGCAATGGCCAGTAATAAATGGCATGTAACCTTCACTACTGAGTATGCCACACACCAGCATATGGTTGGGATCCATTATGTCAGAGGCTGGGTCACGTCCACACACAGGTACCCACATTGCACCCATCCATAGACCCCTCCCTTCCCTCCTCTACATCCGGTGCCATCTAAGCTGCCAGGTGCCCCTAGGTAGGTAGATAATTCTCAGGAAGCCAAGAAAGCAGATTCCAGCCCCAGATGTTTCAGTTCAAATCAGACTTTGAGATAATTGCTTATCTGTTTGTATCTCAGTTTCCTTATCTGCAGAATGAGCATAACAAATAGTTCTACCTCATGGATGGTTGTGATAATCACTAAAATAATGTCTACGAAGTTTTTAACATAGTAAGGTTTTAACATGGCTGTTATTATGGTATCTGAGGAGTGAAGAGAAATCAAACATATCAATGGAAACTAGGGAATGCAAAGTTAAAAAATAGTGCAATGCCCAGGGACTAGGGTAGGAAAGATGGCAGGACGAATTGGGGCATTTTTCATCGGAAACAGCAATGAAGGAGGCACTGTGGGAAGTGAAGTGAGTGTGAATCACACGCATCAGTAAGGAGGAGCCATGCCTTGTGCAGGGGTGGAGTGTGCTGCTCAGTACAGAAGCCTTGCCTCCATGTCTTACCTGGAGAAGCCCATGAGGACCCCATTGCCCCAGCGCTGGGTTAGGTCCCACCGCATCCCATTACTCTGGTAGAGAAACAGGGCATAGGATCTGCTCCCATCTGTGGAGAGGATGGCTTGGTAGGTGTTGGTCTGGAGGTTGGTAGGAGACAAAAATAAGGATGCCTATGAGAGACATTGGGTCTAGTAGTAGTTCTCATGTGACCCCTTGAGTTCTCTCAAGAAGGTTGTAATAAAAAGAGTGAATCTGGCTCCACGCATGCTCTCTAGTCCTGGTTTGAGATGTAATTATTTGCTGGATCCTACATATGCTCCTGCATTGCTATCCTTGCCATGAGGTGATGCAGCCAACAGGGGCCCTCAATGAACCTGCACTACAGTTTGGACTTTCATCCTCCAGAACTGCAGGTTAAATAAACCTCTTTTCTTCATAAGTATCCTGTTTCAGGTATTTTATCATGGTAATACAAAACTGACTAATATATAAATCATATGAAATTGCCAATGGTCAGACATATTTGATCAAAAAAATGCCATTTCCTGTTTCTGATTTCCAGGCTATTGTGAAGTCGTATAAGAAAGGGCTGAGGCAGGCCTGGCACACGGTGTGTGCTCAGCAATTAGTTCTGGCAAGAACTGCTATAATCAACAAGCTTTCCTACTTTCCTTGAGTCAGAGAGGGTTCTAGAAGAGTAGCCCCTCCCTGGGATTCTAGGATGGCTGACCCCCACATGTCTCACAGGGAGCCATTTTTGGTTCACTCACTCCAAAGGTCCACTGGGCAGGATAGGCAGGGGCATCGACCCATGTGACCTTGAGGGTCCACTTGGCTTTATAGCTCCAGGTGTTTGTGAACTTTTCAATCCAAGTCTCCACCTGCCGAACTGTCGGGTTGTATTCATCATAGAATGTCTCATATTCCTAGAAAAGGAAGGCAGGTAAGAACAAGAAAATGAGGGTTCCATTCAAGACCCCTGAGGGACCCCAACTTTCTGCTTAAGAATCATACTCATTTTAATGCTCCCATACTGCCCCTGCTTTCCTGTTCTAGGCCTGTGTTTTTACAATGAGTTTTTTAGACCTTAATATCAATTTAAATTTGGACTGCAGGAAAACATGGAATGGGATGGAGGAGTCCCCACCCAAAAATCTAAGTCCTTTGGACTTGAACTCATGCATCTCTTACCTCAAACCAGCTCAGATGGAATAACCATGTGTGCCCATTTTTACCTCCCCATGTCTGACTGGAAGCTCCTTGAGGACAGGCATGGTCTCTCCATCTTTGGAGCCTCTGCAGTGCATTATGGCAAGGGCACAAAACACATTTGCTGCAGTAGCCTTCATCATATGCTCCCACTGTCTGGAATTATTAACCCAATCTAGGAACACAGGAGAGGCCCTGTTTGACTCAGACTTGTTAGAATAGACTCTCTGCAGCTCTGTATTTTGTTTGTTTGATTTTTGAGACACTGGGGATTAAACCCAGGGCCTCGAACATACTAGCCAAGCACTCTACCACTGACCTACATGCCCACCTAGAGCTCTATTTTAAAATCAGTTGCTGACCTGCCAATCCCTATTCCTGTTGCCTGCAAGACTTCACATGTTTAGATTAGGTATTTTTGAGTCTGTTTAATATTCCTTATTGCCTTAGCCTCCCTATCCCATATTAAGTCTCAATCCCTATCCACGTGAGCCCAGGCAATGACAGAAGTGACATTTCCAGGATCCTGATTCTAAGGCTTTGAAAAACCCACCTGGTAAAATATGGTTCCCCTGCCGCCGGAAAAGTCAGCATCATCCCAGAATGGAGCCACCATGGCCACAGGTTCCCTTCCTGTGAAGCCTCCTAGAGGTGGATTGGGGTAGGAGAACTTCTGGTAATCTGACTTGGGGAAAATGATCTGGCCATTGTCTGTGAACTGAGAACCGGAGTTTTTGGTCAGCATTCAGGGAGAAAGTGAGGAGCCAACCTAGCTTCGGGCCAGCTCCTCAGAAGCATGGCCCCCAACGGCCTCTCTGGGCAGATCAGACATGTCAACCACCCCTGGAAGCTCACCTCTCCACTTTCTGTCTTCTGGGAGAGCTCTTTACATAATAACCTCACAAATACTCGCCAACCACAGGACAGTCTTCATATCTGAGGGTGATAGGCTGTGTCCTGTCTCGGTGTAGACCCCAGGTTTTTGCCCAGCTCCATCCTGAAGCCTGTGAACCCTCAGATGAGGCCAAAGAAATTGACACCCTCGCTTTCACCTTTGTTTCTTCCTCATCTTGTATCCTAAGGGCCCTCCCTGAGGGCGACAGGGGCCAATTCTGTGTACAAAATCTTCCTTGGGAGACATGGGCCAGAGAGAACCAGGAAGTAATTATAGAAGAGGGAAGTGGCCCCTAAACTGCTCAAGTTTGCCAAGTACAGCTTCCTACTCATAAAAAAGTCCCATGAAAACAGGGGTGAGCTGACTGGGCCCTCTTCTCTTTTTACTGGGGTAAGGACATTTGGTCCACATGGGGAGTGTAAGGATTCTGGCTGTGGAAATGTACAAGGCAGCGTTCCTCTGGTGAGCAAACTCTTGGAGGGTAACAGGCGCCCTGTTATCCACACTTGGAATATTCTACAGTTTCTCCCTGGAACTAGTAAGATGACTGATACATGCCCAATGCCCAGCTGCTATGGTAATGTCCTTCACAAGGAGGCTCTGTGTTAGAGTCTTATCAGCCTCAACCTTAATCTCAGACACTCAGCTTCTGGGAATAAAGGAACTTTCTTAGACAACACCAACGTGTCACTGGGCCTAAACCTGCCCACAAAACTGTAACTTTATACAATGAGCAATAAGTACTAATGATGTCAATGACCTAATGTAACCTATGGATATAAATAAAGCTGGCAGCTCAGAGAAGCAGCCCTTTTGACTTTGCCCCTGCACCTTGCTTGCTTCTGTCTCTTTTTGTTCTTCTTTACAGGGGAGGGAGGTTTGCCTCACTCCTGTTTTCCTCAGCTAGAGCTCTGACATTAAAGAAGGCTGTAAATGTCAAAATGATGCCTAGAAAAGATGGCTTCCATCCTCCCTTCCTTTTGGTCACAGGGTCATCTCCAACACTGAACAGAGAAGCAGGGCCCAGAAAGTACAGGTCTTGCCTCTTGGGCTGTAGTCAGAGACTCACGTAGAGAGAATCCCGCAGAGAGAAGCCAAGTGGGAAGCCAATCTGGAGCTTGAAGAGCTGCGAGGTGAAGTCCACAGTCCTGATAGACAACTGCAGGTCTCCAGAGCTGGACCCATAAGGGAAGAGGGGAACACCTGGCCAGGACAGAGAAGAGTACAAGTCCTTGTGGACCTTGACCTCCTTTCAGTCTCAAAGTGATCCCTAGGGAGCTTTCCCCAAGCTGTTCCTCACCCTTGTCCTCTGTTCCTCAAGGTGTTCCAGCAGGTCCTGACTGGGAGCCATCAAGGACTCTTCTCTCCACGTATTTAACACATCTCCTCATTTACTCTTACTGTTATGGTTTGGATATGAGGGGTCCCCCAGAAGCTTATGTGTGAGACAATGCAAGAAGGCTTAGCGGAGAAAAGATTGGGTTGTGAGACCTTAACCCAGTCAGTGAATTAATGCCCTGATGGGATTAGCTGAGTGGTAGCTGAAGGCGGGAAGGGTGTGGCTGGAGGACGTGGCTCACTGGGTTGTGCTTTAGGGTCTATATTTGTATTTGGCAATTGGAGTTTCTTTCACTCTCCTTTCTGATCATCATGTGAGCTGCTTCCCTATGCCACACAAGAAGAGGCACCTTCTTCTTCCATGATGTTCAGTCTCATCTTGAACCCAGAGGAAAGCCAGCTGTCTATGGACTGAGACCTCTGAAACTGTCAACTTTCAAATAAACTTTTCCTCCCCTAAAATAGCTCTGGTCAGATCTTTTAGTCACAGCAGCGAAAAGGCTTACTAAAACACCATCCCCCAGTCTGGAGAAAAACCAGTCCTGCTGTCAGAACACGGACAAACCATTCTACAGCTGTTTTAGGAGTCCTAATTCTTTTAAGAATTAAAATATTAAACTCTGGTGCAGTAAAGATTAGTAATTGAAAGGACTTTTCATAGAATGGGACTTGTTTCCTAAGATAGTATTTCTCCAAATAAACTTGAAGATTTCCTAGAATTTGTTCTAGGACCTAAAGATCCCTGGACTCCAGTTTGAGAGACCTTGTCCTAAATGTTTTTCAAATGGATCTTGCTTCCATATTGAGAGCTGCTGACTCCTTGGCGCCCTCTCTTGATCTAGCTTGGGTACTGCAGTGGCCTGACCACCTCCCTTGGCCTCTTCACTAAACCCTCCGGCGAGTGTGTCCACACCAGCCGCCACAGTGCCATTCATACAAGGCAAGTCTGTGTCCTCCTGGTTTCCCTTACCTACGGGATTCTTGCACACACCAGCTTTCTCATATTCTTCACCTTACTTCTGGCAATCCCAAATGCTTTGAGGATCTCCTCTCCAGGTGACACTGGGATGCTTTTTTTCACTTCCATGCATTTGTTCCATTGCTCAGATCCTTCTCCCTGCCTGGAGTGTCCAGCTTGCACTTCTATCCACTCTTGCCTGAAAGCCTCTTGTCCATCTCGAACCCATTCCCACAAACTTTGGGGGCTTTCCATTTTGTGCTCCTAGTTTCCTGGGCTGGCATCTGTAAGAGAGTTGATCTGTCCCCTAATGAATGGCACATGATAGTTTCCCTATCTCCAGCTCCTGGCCCAGTGCCATGCACAAAGCTACCTGTAGAACCCAATTCTACTTCTAAATGTCTCCTGTAAGGATCGTTCTGACTAAGAGAGTAGAAAATGAGCAAGCTATGGTGAGACTGATCACTAAGTTAGACCACCCCTCTAAGGGAATATGCAGACAGACTGTATTTCTATGGCTCATTTGGGGCAGTGAGGTACCCAGAGAACTGGTTCCCTCAACTACACACCAAGGCCTTCATTGGAAAATTCAGTCCAGCTACCACCACTGCACCCTTCACATCTAGTTCAGTTGAAGGGGGAGAGCTACCACCTCCACAGCATCACTCACCTTGCCCAACCAGGACAGGGCGTGGGGAAGTTGTTGGGCGGGAACTTGTGGATGTGGAGAGAGCAGAGGTTGTAAGAGTCAGAGAGGTTTTAGAAGGAGGAGGTATTGCTGTGCTGGTGGCTGCACCCTGAGGGGATGTCTCTGCAGAAAGGGTCACTGGCAGAGTGTTTCCATTCAGGGAGGTTGATAGGGTTGATGTGGTCCCCTCTGGGGAGGGGCTGGAAGGAGGAGATGCAGATGTTTCCTTGGTGGAGGAGCTGGGTGTTGGAACAGTTGATGGTTCTGGTCCTGTTGTCCTGGAAACCCCTGAGGTGGCTGTTGGAAGACTTGCAGTTCCAGGCTGTGATGTGGTCCCTGTGTTTTCTGCAGTAGAGTCTATGGATGCTGTTGTGGTGGAAACCTCTGTTGTCACTGTGGGTGTGTTGCTGACACTGGAAGTGGACAAGCTGGTGAGCTCACCAGGAGGGGATGTCTCTGCAGAAAGAGTCACTGGCAGAGTGTTTCCATTCAGGGAGGTGGAAAGTTTTGATGTGGTCCCCTCTGGGGAGGGGCTGGGTGGAGGAGATGAAGTTGTTTCCTGGGTGGAGGGGCTGGGTGTTGGAACAGTTGATGGTTCTGGTCCTGTTGTTCCAGAAACCCCTGAAGTGGCTGTTACATGACTTGCAGTTCCAGTCTGTGATGTGGCTCCTGTGTTTTCTGCAGTGGAGTCTGTGGATGCTGTCATGGTGGGCACCTCTGTTGTCACTGTGGGTGTGTTGGTGACACTGGCATAGGACAAGCTGGTGGATTCACCAGGAAGGGAAGTCTCTGCAGAAAGGGTCACTGGCAGAGTGTTTCCACTCTGGGAGGTTGAAAGGGTTGATGTGGTCCCCTCTGGGGAGGGGCTAGGTGGAGGAGATGAAGTTGTTTCCTGGGTGGAGGAGCTGGGTGTTGGAACAGTTGATGGTTCTGGTCCTGTTGTCCTGGAAACCCCTGAGGTGGCTGTTACATGACTTGCAGTTCCAGGCTGTGATGTGGTCCCTGTGTTTTCTGCAGTGGAGTCTGTGGATTCTATCGTGGTGGACACCTCTGTTGTCACTGTGGGTATGTTGCTGACACTGGAAGAGGACAAGCTGGTGGATTCATCAGGAGGGGATGTCTCTGCAGAAAGAGTCACTGGCAGAGTGTTTCCTTTCAGGGAGGTTGAAAGTTTTGATGTGGTCCCCTCTGGGGAGGGGCTGGGAGGAGGAGATGCAGATGTTTCCTGGGTGGAGGAGCTGGGTGTTGGAACAATTGATGGTTCTGGTCCTGTCGTCCCGGAAACCCCTGAGGTGGCTATTGGAAGACTTGCAGTTCCAGGCTGTGATGTGGTCCCTGTGTTTACTGCAGTGGAGTCTATGGATGCTGTTGTGGTGGACACCTTTGTTGTCACTGTGGGTGTGTTGCTGACACTGGAAGTGGACAAGCTGGTGAGCTCACCAGGAGGGGATGTCTCTGCAGAAAGGGTCAATGGCAGAGTGTTTCCATTCAGGGAGGTTGATAGGGTTGATGTGGTCCCCTCTGGGGAGGGCCTGGGAGGAGGAGATGCAGATGTTTCCTGGGTGGAGGAGCTGGGTGTTGGAACAGTTGATGGTTCTGGTCCTGTTGTCCC